CCAGTCCGGCCCTCGGCTTGTAGCAAATTAGTTTTTTTGGCCCTCTGATGTTTTTGACTTTACATCCCTGCTGTACGGTTAAACAAGTATGATGGAGTAATAAGGATTTCTGCCTGTAACTCCTCAAGCCACCACCAGAGGGAGGAGGTGAATGTGTTTTGTTTTGCCACGTGATTGTAAAGCAAGGGCGTAGGTTTGCGTGGGGACCATGGGGACATGTCCCCACCAATATTTGGTGAGGACTAAAAAGTCCCCACCAAAATGACATGATGTCCCGTGACCCGGACGGTCCGGGACACATGTCTTCCGTTTGTGCACACGTCGCGCCTCCTCCTCGCCTCCAGAGCAACAGCAGCAGCAGCAGCACGTGACCCGTTCCGTTCTCTGCAGTGATTGGCTGTCTTCTTCAGCGCCAAAATGAAGCACTGAGCGACTGTTTAATTTTTAAAAGTTAGCCAGCGTGAAGCAAGTGTTTTTTTTCGTTCCCTGAGCGTTGTAGCACGTGAGTAATCAGAGGAAAGTACTGTAGATCTATTACCATTCAAAGTACTTACGTTATTTCTAATCTGTCAGCGCACTGTTTAATGTTCCGAGGAGCTCACACGGCACAGAGACAGAACAGAACTGGCTCCAATAAAGAAACAGGTTGGTTGAAAGGCTGAAAAAATACTTATTGTGCTCTTACTATCCAAAATGTATAAGTGGGTGTGTTGTGTGAATCAGGATAAACTAGGGATGAAAATATTCCACGGATCCACGATTTACAACCTTTATCTGCTGATAATGTAATTTCTGTGAAATGTGTGACAGCACGTCCTGGTGCAACTGCTGCCGCTTTGTAATGACAGCCGCGGCGCTCAGTGAAAGCACAGCTCTAACATGGTACCGAGCTCGGACCATATGCAGACAGAACCATGTTGCAAGTGCGGGTCTCCCTCGTATCTCCCCCGTTTCTCCCCTGTGTCTCTGACATGTCTCTCCCCTGACTCTTCCCAAAGCGCAACCAGCGCCCCCGAAATTAAAGCTCGGATACCTAAATTTTCCATTGCGTTAACGATGCATGCTGGTTGTGCGCAAAACACACCACAACAGGTCATTTAAGTTTTTATTTTGCATACTTGAGAGCCCTGTGAGTCATTACTTGCCTTTTTGGGTTGAGAGTGGAATAAAAAAAAGAAAATATAGAAAAATCCACACTGTTACTTATTGCCAAACTCTTGTTAACTCATTGTATTGAGAAATACTATGTAACTTTTGACATTGGCCAAGTTATATAAATGATTCTGCAGTTCATGTATATGAATGTCTGTTTTTGATTGTCTATACCTTCTTATATAATTTAGAAAAAATGCCACCTCCACAAAAAAAGATAAAAGATATCAGGAGCTTTTTTAACAGTTGGAAAGTAAGTAAGAGAAAGCACAAGTAATAGCAAATTATGAATTGTGATGATTAATCTTCTGTTAACATACATAGGAAACTCTAACACAACAAGAGAGAACAATATAGGGAATGTTGAGGTAGAAGCAACAGGCCCTTCAGTGCATCAGGTGAGGTTGGAATTTTGTAGGTATGCATGGGACTATGAATTGTTTTTAGAGATTGATCGTATATGTCAAACAATGTAGTGAGCTACTCACTGTAGATTCTAATTCAATATTTTCTCCTCTGTTTTTATTTATTATAGGAAATTGAAAGATCAGAGCATGATTTATCGAGAGCAGTTCCTGAACTGTTAGACCCATCAACCAATTCTAGTTTCATGAGATATTTAGCGACTGGTGTACCATGCCTAGGTTTCATTTTATTCAATGTAGAATGTGTGTTTTTATTAATACCATAAAGGAAAGTCAGACAAACAGGGAATGTGCAGTGCTGGTAGAGGATGAGGAAGTGGCTGGACCTTCAGGGCTTCAGGTGAGGTTGAAAGTATTTATTTGGTTTTGTTGGTGGTTTTATTTTGTATATGCTTAGATCTGATTTGTTTAATGTACTACATGTGTTTTATTTATTATAGGGAACTCAGGTATTCAGGGAAGATGTAGTGGCAGTGGTAGGCAGATATCGAAGCTGGGCTTCAGGTGAGGCTGGAATTATGAAGATAAAATATGGGATTTTTTAAAGTTTCATAACAGTGTATTTGCTATTTAGGAGGCAGCCAATGAGAGTCACTCTCAAGAAAGTGCCAGGGACAGCATATTTGAGATAGGTTGTAAACCATATCAGCCTGATCCTGAATACAGGATATATTTACTATCTTATTTACTATAAACATTTAAGCCATCTTGTGGACAAAGTTAGAATGAACGCAACACAAAACTCAGAAGCTCTGATCCAATTGATTTTGTTTTAACTATTAGAAAAAATCCTTAACTGCTTCTCATTCAGTCTACAGCTGAGTTTAGTATAGAAGGCAACACACTATTGCAAATATAGCGTGTGATTACACAACAAATTCTGGGGGAGAAACTCTGGACCCCGCGTCAATGGGTGTAGACTCAGGTCGTAGTGAATGTCCCCACCAAGATTGGAACCAAACCTACACCATTGTTGTAAAGAATGTATTTCACCAAAAGTAGGTGGACTAAAAGGACTGAGGCAGAAGCTGGGGCAGAGCTACATGTTTATGCCAGACGCTTCTGACGGATGTGTTGTAGAAATCTAACTGGGGTTATGAACCAATTTCACTTGGGAATAAATCAAACAATAGATCATGCATTCTGGGACAGAGGCCGAGCTAAATATCTGTTGTTCTGCGGAGGCGTCGAGGCCAAGGACAGAAGGGTGGCAGATGTTAGTTTCTTATCTGAGCCGTAGAACTATGTGTCCAGGGTCACACTGATTGTTTTTCATGATATCAGAGTTGTATCAGAGTAAGACGGCAGAAGGGAGAGGGTTTGAGACAGTTATCACTCAAACCCGGACTGGGAGACGCCATAGATTTGTTTTTGCCAGCCTTTTAATGTTGGAGTTGAGCATTCGAGGCAGACCTATACTGTATGTACACATCTACTGATATCAACAAACCACACTTTGATTGCATTATTTCTGGTGTTTCATTTCATTATTTGGGTCTCGCTCTGAAACTCTACAACAGCTGGATTGATCCAAAAACAACTCCAGGTCTGACAGATGAGGAAAAAGTCGATTATAATATGGCTTTTTAATGGTTGAGCCTGCTTTAGTTTTTTTGCAAGATTATAAAAACAAAAAAACTTACTGTATTTTTCTTATGTTTAGGTTGAACTAAAATGGCCGATTAAATCAATATAATGTGGCAAAGTATGCAAAGCTTTTTTTTTGCTTAATTTGGTCATGAAATGTGTTGCCATCTCTTTGCAATTGACAAGAGAAAAGTTGAGTCTGTTAAAACTAATAACACATTTAGATTTCCATATACTGTATATTAAGTTGGGATTTGAACCTTCAGGCCAACGACAGGTCTCAGGATCGGAGCTTCTGCTTGGACAAGACTGCTTTAGTTTGACCATTTTACACTTAAACTTGAACATTTCCAGTGCATTTATCGGAAACAGAACTGAAAAAAATTGATAATAAATGCTCATATTAAGTGTTTGGTTTTTTTTATCTTAATTTGAGCACATTCTGATTGTCTCAAAACAATGGGACAAAGCCATTTAGTATTATTTCAAGAACGCTTGCTTTATTTTCTCATTCCAACTTTTTAAAAACAAGATCATTTTGCTTTGTCCCATTAGTAAAGCTTGTTTTAAAGCAGTCAGAATGTGCTCCGATTAAGCTACATTTAGCCAAACTTGAGCACTTTTGACTTGTTTTCTTCACTTTTTGCAGTGTAATATCTAGCTTTAGGAGTGACTAATTCAATCTTATACATCTCTTGCATTATTATCAAAAATGAAAGACTGGATTTTTAGGCACCAGAGTGATTTTTTTCACAGTTTTTATCCAGCAGAATGAATACAGCGCTAGCCTTTTATATGGAAATATGCATCACGACAAAAGACACCAATCCAAAGGTGTTAGCTAATCCAAACAACAAGTTGCGGTGATTGAATGGCTTGAATATTAAGTTTTGCATTCATCCATTTTGTGAAAGCCAGATTCCACAATATTTCAAAGAGGTGAAGGTTGTGAAAAAGCTCATATTAGTAAATAGAATGGCGGTATATTGCTTCAACCTGTTCGAGTCCATATCGATTTGAATGGTTAAATCAGATATATTTCCAAGTATATAAACGGCAAAACCCAAAAAAAATCTCAGTCAGTAGAATTCCCGGTGTGTCGTCAGCCGGCTCTCATCTCCTCTCATCTTTAATATGTCTCCCGCTTGTGCCTCCCACAGTCCACCTCTGCATCTTATCGCTCACCTCTCAGCCTCCTCCCCCCCTTCACTCTGCCGCCTCGAAATCTTTCATCTCCTCTTATCAGACGGCTCCTGACATCCATCTTTCATCAGCCGCACGCCGAACCTGTGTGTCACATCTGCAATTTACCCATATTCCCCGTGTAGTAAACCGGCTGCACTCATTCAAAGTTGACTCCATCCAAGAAAAGTGAACGAAAATCTGTGCAAAATGGTCGTTGCAGAAGGATTACCATACATTTTTCATGTGCTGATTTTGGGGCTCTGTAAATAGATCAGAAATGTATGTGTTTAAAGGAGAAGCTTGAGCATTTCTTGACAGCTTGGGTTTTTTGATCACACACAGAAAGGCAGACGGGTGGAATACACTGCAAAAAGTGACAAAGAAAATGCTCAAATTTGGCTGAATGCGTCTTAATATGAGCACTTTCTGACTGCTTTAAAACAAGATTTGCCCAATGTATAGAAATAAGTCTCAATGGTTTAGTCCCATTGGCAAATCTGGTCAGAATGTACTCCAAAAATTATATTAAATATTAAAAACACAAACAATTATTAGCTCATATTTGATCATTTTTGCTGTGGAAAAGTGGTCCATATATCTCCCTGGACAAAGAGATGGATTACACAACAATGTCGGTGCTTGATTGTGTAGGAGGAGGAGGAGGAGGAGGAGGAGGAGGAGGAGGAGGAGGAGGAGGAGGAGGAGGAGGAGGAGGAGGAGGAGGAGGAGGAGGAGGAGGAGGAGGAGGAGGAGGAGGAGGAGGAGGAGGAGGAGGAGGAGGAGGAGGAGGAGGAGGAGGAGGAGGAGGAGGAGGAGGAGGAGGAGGAGGAGGAGGAGGAGGAGGAGGAGGAGGAGGAGGAGGAGGAGGAGGAGGAGGAGGAGGAGGAGGAGGAGGAGGAGGAGGAGGAGGAGGAGGAGGAGGAGGAGGAGGAGGAGGAGGAGGAGGAGGAGGAGGAGGAGGGAGGAGGAGGAGGAGGAGGCACAAAGTCATTTCATGGCACATAAGACAGCTCTATTGACATGGTAGAAAAATGTTAGTAATGCCGTTAGTTCTGATCCCAAAAAGAAGTCACATAAGAAAAGAGATTTTCAGATTCAAAATATAAACATTCTCATGATCACTCAGAAGTTTGGATTAGTTATAAGTGGTCATTTTGGGGAATTGTGATTTATTAGACCTAAAAAAAAGTGGATAATGAATACTACACAAACTCCTGAATCCAGTAGACTCTGTACAGCCACCAAGAACCCTAACCCTAATTTTTCTCACAATTATTTATTATTATTATTATTATTATTATTAGTCTCTTTTTCAGGGTTCCGTTTGAATTGAATTGAATTGCACATGTTGTCCAAATACTCCAAAGACACACAAAAAACACCAGTGATCACGGTTCATAAAAGGTGGTTTTTGGTGGTTGTTTTAAAAGATGGCATCAAACTGGAGGTGTCAAAAACCAGCTTATTATCTCAAAAAATAAACACAAATGATTTTAAAATCCCCTTGGAATCCAGTCTATTCATTAGCATCAATACCGTCTTAGAATATTGAGTTTCATGACATTTGAAGATACTAAGGACAAAACATTGGCAATAGTTTAAAGTTTTAAATCCAGTCTAATTATGCTCCATTGTCCATCCGTTAATTTAGGAAACTACTAAAGGAAGTACGACCACATTAGTCCAGTCCTCAGGTCTCTGCACTGGCTTCCTGTGGCTCAGAGAATAGACTTTAAAACAGCTCTGCTTGTTACAAGTCTCTCCATGGCCTCGCACCAAAATATATTAGTGACATGTTAGTACCATATGAACCAGCCCGGACTCTGAGGAGCACAGGGACTGGACTCTTGCTGGGACTCTGAGGAGCACAGGGACTGGACTCTTGCTGGGACTCTGAGGAGCACAGGGACTGGACTCTTGCTGGGACTCTGAGGAGCACAGGGACTGGACTCTTGCTGGGACTCTGAGGAGTACAGGGACTGGACTCTTGCTGGGACTCTGAGGAGTACAGGGACTGGACTCCTGCTGGGACTCTGAGGAGCACAGGGACTGGACTCCTGCTGGGACTCTGAGGAGTACAGGGACTGGACTCCTGTTAGTGTCCAGAGTCAGAACTAAACATGGGGAGGCTGCTTTTCAGATTCATGCTGCTAAAATCTGGAACAATCTTCCTGAAGATGTGAGACAGGCCTCCTCTCTGACAATGTTTAAAACCAGGTTAAAGACAGTTCTGTTTAGCTGTGCATACAACTGAGGGATTTTATATTTTTATCTTTCTTTTTAATGTTCTGTGATTATTTAGGATTTTAATGCTTTCTTATTTTGTTCAGCACTTTGAGTTGCCTTGTGTATGAAGTAACCTCAGCCGTCTGTGGCCACGTCTCCGCTCTAACCTGGGCCCCTTTCGCACGTCCGTGTGCTATTTCTGTGCAAAGATGCTCCCTCTATAGTACAACACTGTCAGATTTTTTTGATTTGATGCCAGCAAAGCTCTTTAGCCGAGGCTTTTTGTCGGCTCAGGTATAGACTAAGTGCTCCCTTTTTGTTTTTCGCTGCCGTCTTCTTTGCCCCTGCCGTCTTTTTAGTGTTGCTTTCACCTCTGTGTGTCCTTGTAACATAACACCAGCTGCCTGTATCAAAGCCGTCTCTTCTCAATTGCCCGGCTTCTTCTCTGTGCCTTGATTTCCGGTGTTTTCTCTGGTATCCATTCATTTCTTACGCATTTCCTCCGTCGCTGCCGTCACTTTTCGAACCCCCTCCTGCTTCTCGTCCAATCAGCTCCCACTAAGATATTAAATGTCAAATAGAACAATGTTTGCCATGGCTCACTGCTACTCCTCACTAAAGGTTTATTGTATTTATTCATGAGTGCTTGGTATTTTTAGCTTCCAAAAGTATTAAGAGGTGTTTCGGTAAAAGTAATGTGGCTTTTGATGTATCTATTCCATTCATTTTCTCGTGCTTATCAGAAAGCCCTTGAACTACTTTGAACAAGTATTTAGACTATTTCATTTTTAACTATGAATAATATGGCTACAAGCGCCAGGGTTATGTTCACTACTACTACTACTACTACTACTGCACTTACAATTACAACTACTACATACATACAGTACTTCTTTGAGCAAAACTTCTCATAATACCAGAAGTCTTGAAACTTTTCAATGAGGGGCCGCCAAGAAATGTGAAGAAATATTGATTTGAAAAGCCAGGGTCCTGGAAGGTGGTGGGGGTGTACCCGGAAACAGAATTACCCAGTGCATTCTAACGGCGCCTTCTTTCCACTCGAAAACAGTTTTACAGAATGGTCCAAAACTCGGCTCTTGGCTCAACACTACGTTCCAGATGTGTGTGAATCCTGAGGGGAGTATTTTTCTTTTGGACCAGTCTAGTTTGGGTGCTGTGAACTTTTGAATTCATGAATGGGGCTAGTGCCGGCCAACGCATATTTTCCGGTGGGACTTGTCTGTGGCACATTTTAACAAAGGAAATACGTCTGTTAATATCTACAGTCTATAGTATTAACAAGTATTGTTTATTTGAGTCAATCTCTCCAAATTGTTTGTAAGATAATATCAAGACATTTTCTCAGATTTCTTTAGCTTTGTATGCTCCCCCTGTGGACCCGCCCCCCCATATTGAGACCCACTGACTTCAACAAACGTTCATAATACTTTTTTAACTGGTGATTTACTGTAACTACTATAAAATGTACATATGTTTTTACTTTTCCTGATTAAGCAAAATGTATTGGTGTGTCTCATCTTCTTTTCACTTCGCACCAGAACAGTGTCAATTGTTGTTATATAATCTATTTTTTGTCTGGTGCACACTGGGGACTTTTGAAAATGTATTCCACTGTGGTTTTACTGCAAATGGTGAATAAAATGAATCTGAATCTAAACTCACTAACTTTTCAGAATGTGAGTTGGAGTAGTTTCAATCCTCAAACCATTGGCTGTTGTGTCCTTGAGCAAGACACCTCCCTCACGCCCTTCAGACTGAGAGGAGAGCCCACAACCCGACCTATTCAAACCTCACTCATGCAGATACTCTTTCTTTCCATCTCTTTTTTGATGCAGATGCGATGAGACTCATGGGAGGTTTTTTTGTGTGCGCAGACTGGCAGGTTGCCACGCTGGCCCTGTTGCTAGGGGGCGGGGCCTTGGTGCTGATGTCGTTCCTGGTGGCCCTGGTGGCGGTGTGCATCGGGACGAGACGGCGCTTCTACGGGCCGGTGGCGTGCATGCTGTTCGCCGCAGGTCAGTGGCGCACAAAGGCCTTCATGAGCTCATTCACATACGACAACGGTTTAAAGGCAAGATGGAGGCTGGAGAAAAATCACACCACATTGACATCGTAATGATAATTCTATCACGTTGGAAACCTTGTACGCTGCAAAAAATGACATATGAGGTAATAAATGCTTGAATTGATGGGTTTTTATCTTAATTTTAGTACATTCTGCCAATGGGACAACGCCATTTAGTCTGATTTCAAGAACTGCTGCTTCATTTTCTCATTCCAAGAGAAAAAAATCGTGCATATTTTTAAAACAAGATTATTTTTGGTTTGTCTCATTGGGAAATCTGGTTTAAACGCAGTCAGAATGTGTAAAAAGTTTCCCAATTTTCCCAAATTTGAGCAATTTTTGATTAATATTTCATCACGCATGTATTATTATATTTAGTTCAGGCGCAGCGCTGGGTCATGGCGGCCATTTCAATTCCAACCGGGAAAAAGTCACTCACCACATTTCCTCATTTTTCATCGGCAGGAATATTAAACATGTTTGTGAGCGTGTGGAAACTTTCATTTGCAGAAACCGGTTTGGAGAAAATGAAGTCGACGAGATGCGAGATGTGCCGTATTTACACAATATTACCCGTATTCGCCAAAACCTTTACTAGGAGATAAATCAAATAAATCTTTAGTAAAACTCATTCATTTATGTTAAGTTCTTAAATAGATTTTAGTAAAAGTATGTGTACCATATTCTATTGCTGCTTATGTGTTTTTGTATTGTTGATCTCCGGATCGTAGCCTCGGGTTAATTTGTTAATAAAGTTCAGGGAAAGAAATTAAATTAGTATTGAACCAATATCGATAGGAACATTGATCGGAATCCATCCCAAAACGAATAACAGTAACTTTAAGTCATTTGTTGAGCTTCAAACTGTGATGTATTTTTTGCTGATGCACTGGGGGCAAACAGGGAACTAGAAACGCTCTCGTAGCATGCATACCTCCATCAAGAGGCTCACTGCTACTTCTTAAAAAAAGGAAAAAATCCGGATCACCTGCAAAATCATATCATTCTGTTCCTCTTCCAATTTGGATCTTTACAACTTGATTGAGGCTTATGCTGTTGGTAATTAAGAAACAGACAAACAAAACCTTGGTGAATACATTACCCCTTGATAATGATGACGTATGAGAACACAGAAGGCGCCACAATTTAGAAAAAATATATATAACGAGGCCTCTTTAATGTGATTATTTTACTGACGGCAAAACATTAAAAATATCTAAAATATATATATAAAAACAGTCTCAAATATTTAAAGCAACACACAGAAACACAAAAGCCTCCAATGATAAAAGATTATAAACCTCATGTTGTTCTTTCATCTGTTTGCACATGTTCCTCCGAGTCAAAACGCAACGCTAATAATAATCAACCCCTCAAAGCGGCTTCAGACGCAATACTTCCTTTTAGAGCAAAGATCAATCATTTATGAATATGCACGACGGGAAACAAAAAGCTTCAGAAAGTGCTGGAAGGGACGAGAACCTTTTAAAGTCCGCACACTGCTCTCCGAATGATAAATCGCCCCTGTCCACGTCAACACATCTCCAGGCCCGGCCCCGCTGGTCGTTTGTGGATATTGTGCATATATTGTGTTATTTCCACTATTCACCAAAGTGCCAAGCCTTGTTTATATTCGCCGCAAGATGCATTCTCTTTGAAAAAAACCACGATTGATGTCTTTGTTCTATTGCCATTTCTCTCTCTCTCCCCTCTGCTGGTTCAAGCATCTATCTCCGTGCCCCCTTTTTCTCCCCAGGGCTCTTCACCTCCGCCCATGTCTCTCTCTCCATTGTAGCATCCTCATCATCCTCTGGTCCCTGGCCCTCTGTGGTCACCAGCACTACAGCCTCTCGCCTGGTCAACTTTGATGAATTTTGTTTTGCCAAAATGTGCTTAATGAAGTCAATAGTTGAAAATGGCAGTCCCTCCGCAGGCTCTAGGCACGCTTCCCAGCCTTGGCCATGCTAAATTTCTCGTGTCTGTATTTTTTTTTTCATTTTTCAGTGAGCTTCAAGCATGGCAGACAGCTTGAGTAATCTTAAAACACATGCTGAGGCTTAGATCTTTAGCGTAAAAAAGCAGTAAGAGGTAAAAAACAGCAACAAAATCTGTATTCTACTGCTCTGCTTTGCCTTCGTTTAATTTGCTTATTGATTCCTGCATTTTAAAACCTACATGTCATCACGTTTATTACAAGAGGCGCGCCATAGCTGCTATTAGTCAACATGGCCGAGCTTTTTGCACGGAATACATACTGTTCTTATTTTCAAAACCAATTCATCTTTCTCAGCTTCATTATCTCAGCTCTGTGTGATAGTTTTAGTGCTAATGCTTTTGCCTGTTGCTTTAACGTTGTCAGATATTTTCGTATTTTTAATGGGACACAATCAAATTACAGTGCCATATTGGTCCCAGTTTATAATCAAAAGTCGGTGTCTCCCCAAATGATTCAAGCATTTCACCCATGATCCTAAATGATTCACTTGAGAGATTATATCAATTTTAACTGTACATATTTTCATTACTGCAGGGATACTGTGCATGCTGTAGATATTATAGACAATTATTACAACTGCTAAAGTAAGTAAGTAGATAAAATTCATTTTTTATAGTGCATTTCACAGACCAAGGTCACCCAAACTGCTTTACAATCAAAAAAAAAAAAGGTCTTGTGGAATACCTTTCATTACTTGGACAGAAAATAGGGACCCATAATCAATTTCTAAACACATTCATTGGACGTGGAATGTTTCATTACAGCTTTATCGGAAAAAAATCTCATTTATTCTCTACACTGACATTTAAATAAATCATCTTATATGTGCAGTGTTGTGTCTGAGAGAGATCGTTTCATTAGAATATACCATTAGATTTTTACAAAGGCCCTGATTGAATCTCTGGCACATTGTGTGATTGTCGCAAAGGAGATTAATCTCAAGTGCGATGTAAAAAATAATAATGTATTTTTCTTTTTACGTGTTTGTCTCCAGTGGTCCTCCAGGCCTGCAGTCTGGTCCTCTACCCCATCAAGTTCATCGAGAGCATAAATCTACGGATCTACCATGAGTTCAACTGGGGCTATGGCTTGGCTTGGGGAGGGACCATCTTCTCGTTCGGCGGCGGGATCTTGTACTGCCTCAACCCCAAAAACTATGAGGATTACTACTAACGCGAACCACAAAAACCAAACTTTTGTCGAGACAATTCTGCGGCTTGACTTCTGTGACTGTGAGGAAATGTCAGGATTCAAGCCGCCCATGTCTTTGTCCGCTGGGAGTAGCCGTCTGCTCTTCACGCCTCTGCCTCAGAAGAGCAAAAGTTTCTTCAAATAGACCCAAGATGCTGGGGTTTCATGCTGGGGGAGGAGGGGGCCGGGGTGGGCCGGGGTGGAGGGGGCACTGACACTGACCATGTGGACTTACATCATACCCAGACATAAGCGTAGCTCGACAGAGAGAGGACAACATTACTGCCATTCGCTATTAAAAACACGTTAGCTTGATATTGATATTGAGAGATCGACCCGCCCCTTGGTTACCTGGGCGACCAGCGGGAGAGGGGGGGGGTTGCTCACAGACTGTCAGCATTGATCACAGGAGACAGGACTGAGCACAGACGTCTCCAAAGAAAAGACTTCTATTCACGTCCAAGGGAGGAGTTTTTTTTTTACACGGAAAAGTTTTAAAGCATTTTCTCCACAAGGCACATACGAGTGATATATAGAATGGCAGTTGTAAAATATAGCAAAGAATTTCGTTTGACTCTCTCTGAGGAGGCAGTGCTCGCATCTTTTCATCCAAAAACACAAACACATAATTGGATTTCACTGTGTCATTTATCAGCAGACGTCACGGAGCCACAAATGACACGTTGCCTTGTTCATTCACTCAAATACTTTTTTCCTTGTCAGACAAAATATGGTTGTATGACAAGGCTATGTGTGCAGACAACCAAAGCCGTTTTTATACCACAGTGAGACCTCAGTTGGGGTTTGTGCATGCTGATGACTATTCAGTGTTGCACCAGTAAAACGTGCTAAATTATGGTGACTACATGCAGCTCTTTTTGACAAATATTTTCACATTTTCTACGGTTCTATTTGATTATTTCCCCCCAAACCATAAGACCAAGGAATACCCTGCAAAAGGAGATGGAGAAATTTGGCAAAATGTATTATAATTTTTGCACATTTTGACTGCCTTAAAACAAGATTTGCAATATAGGACATGCCAAATTATCTTGTTTTAAAAGGATACAATAAATGTCTTCTATGGAATGAGAAAACAAACGTCCCGTTGGCAAATCTCAGTCTGAATGAACTCAAATTAAGATACATTTTGCCAAATTTTAAACACTTTTGACTTTTTTCCCCCCTTTATTCAAGCAATTATCACTTCACGCTATCTCATTTTTGCAGTGTAGATCCTGACTTATCTATGGATTACACCCAAAACTATCCCCTCACATTTCTTTAGCATATTTGCATTGATGCCTCCCCGTCCGTCACTCCCAACGCCTTCATCTGCAAGTCTGCCGTCTGAACTCCTCACGTTGACATTTTGGAAACGCGATCGGGGAGTTGTCTGCTCTTTTTATCGTCCCGCATTCTCCAAGACGCCGTCAAAAACAGCCATCACCAAAAATAGTTGTCCGCCTTCAATCCCTCTCCTCTCCAAAATCGGAAACGCGAACAGCTGCCATTCACGCACAAAGCTCGACAGAAAGCCGGTTTCATGCCCCCACAATGCCGCATCTGTCGGAAATCCTCCCAAGGTTAAGGAATTTGCTGTAAATACGAGAAGTAGTGAGCTGAGCAAATGGACACTGTATCATTTAGTAATAATGGTCCTTTTCTTTTCCAGCTGTTGCTACTGTATGTGGGTCAGCAGCTGCAGTTCAGACTGAGGGATATCCCCGCATTCAAGGTTTTGGGGGAAAACGAAAAAAAAAAAGCATTTGAATACAATGGGAATGATTTATGACACGTCCCATGACACCTGTGTACAATGCCTCGCTGTTTCTCTGTGTTACGGCCTTGCGCCACTAGAATCGTGCGTTCTGTGACGGTACTAGAAGAGGCCTTGGTGTTTACGCCGCAACAGAGCTGGGCTGGAATACCGCAGGGGCCGGCGATTACTGCTGTCGTCACAGGAGAACAGTGGGAAGAAGGGAGTGGGCCGAGGAACTGCGGATGTCCCCCGTATGAACTCACTGTGCGCAGGTGAGGGAGAGGTGACAGCCATCTGCGGGGAAATGGCTCTGGTTATAGAGTAAGTAGCCATGAGTGAAGACAGTATGGAAGCCTGCACAAACACAATACCCAATATCAGTTGCTTTTAAAGGAGAAATACAAATAGATGAATAATATCGCTAAAATTACCCAGCACAGATTATCCCAAGTGGAAGAAAAATAGCCTAAATTAGTGTCTAAAATGAGTCTTAAGTGATTCAGGGCTGGTCGAGCGATGAGAAGTCGTCCAAATTCAGCTTGATAAATGATTTACGGTATTTTTTTAATCACGTGGGTTATGTCGCAATGTTGTTCCCTCGTCTAAATCAGCACTGAAGTTGTTTTTCAATCTTGCCACTCTAATATCGACAACTTCTGGCACCAACTTCTATCTATGAGCCCCATTTTATTTCAATTTTATTTAACCAGGAAAGTCCCATTGAGATTAATAACTTCTTTTTCAAGGGAGCCCTGGACCAGACACTGCAGAAGTAACGTTACACATAATTACTTAACATTACTGATATATATAAACAGTTACATATCAACGAGGATGTCTCAAATAAATTCAGTTATTTGCAGGTTTTTTTTGCGGCACGTTCCATGTAGAAGGAGCAGAAGCCTGTCTTCTCAGTTCTTTTTTACATTTTTATTAACATTATTAATCAAAATGCAAACACAAATACGAACATAAAATAAAAAAAAAAGAATAACATAAAACTTATATGTTCACAGTTATTTGTGTATAAAAGGATCAAAGAGTAACAAATGGGCAAATAGTATGATGTCATTGTACCACTATGACATCACACTCAGAGTTTTACCCAATTCGTTTGTGCAATTTCTCCAATGAATAGAAAAAAAGAACAATTTGGAAAAAAACCGAGCTCCCTCTAGTGGTAGGATACGGAGTTACGCCCAATAACATTATCTATTTACTCTTGATACTTGTTTCACCAAATATTTTTCAACTTTAGATCTTAGTTCACATTCTAAAACGTTACAGTAAATAGTCTTGTTTTGATTTTAATAACCACAAACATGAGTAAGACTGTAAGCTACATTGTTTTATCTTTTTAAAGCATTTATATTGAAAGCACAGTCTAATACAGCTCCTCAGAAGGCAAACGTGTTTCCACCCTGTCCTTTTGATCCACAACTTTATTCACCAGACACATTACAGCCTATTTTCATCCAGACAAGCAGCCGTCATCTCTAATAATAAAACATTTATTCTTGTGAAAGTGCTCTAGACTGTTCTCCCCCGTAATCACAGCGGAGTACCTTCATCTCCATCCAGTTTCCAGACACAATTCCCACAAAGCCCGACAGATGCGCCGCCAAACTACGTCAAACTTATCGTTATTATCGTCAAAACGTTTCCAATATCCCATTTTTGGCGCGTACGGCAATTAAAAAACAGATGTGCGCGGCCCTAATTGCGGGTAAAAAAATCTGAGAGTTGGAATTAGTGAGATGACAATGCAGGTTTTTCTATACTTTATCAGGGAAATGTTTTTTAGTCTGACCTCTTCTGTATTTCAGCCCATATCTGTCGTCCAGTCTTTGCTTTGATTTCGCAGAAGCTTGCAAAATGTTTCAAGTGACTTTTACGATGAGCAAAGTGCTTGGGGCCTGGAGAGCTGCATGTGTGCCGTGATCAGCATTTATCTCTTTGTACGTGGGCACAATTAAAGCACTTACAGCACTACTGTCGAGTTTTTACTTTTTCCACAATGTGAAGTAAAGGGAGCATTAATCATGGCTTCGTCTGCCGTGGAAATAAAGTAAAATCCAGGTCAGAAAACACACAAGGGTTGGTGCAAAGTCACGGGGGTTTCCTCATTAAAATGGGAGGATCACAATGGGAGCTTTTCAAGTGGTAATGATGGTATGTTATGCAAAATACAAGGTTGAATTCGTTATTTCAGAAAAAGCAAGTGGAGAAGAGACTCGATCTAGTGACAAACGTGGCATCAGGGTAAGATAAGATCATGGATAGAGTCACTCAAGATTTGTGCAAAAGACAGAAGTGCGCAACATGTCAGAGGCAAAAAAAATGTGTCTTTTCAGGATATATTATGTACAATTAAAAAGTAGTAATTAAAGAAACAGTGGCAATAGTAGTGCGGGTTTTCAGTCCTAATGCAAGTGACTTAAGTGACACATTGTACAGTCTGACAGCGGTGGGGATAAAAGCCCTGTGGTATAGCTCCTTCTTGCACTGAGACATGTGTATATATATATATAGAGAGAGAAATAAAGATATACTGAAAGAGAGAGAGAGAGGACTACACAAATCAATAAGTATAAAAAAGGAGGGATTCAGGAGCTCATGGAACAGTCCTTTCATAGACGTGATCTGATTTCACCAAGTAATCAACAGCCGGGGGAGGGGTCAGAGGTTAGGGCTAAGGTTAGGGCTAGGATCACTATGGTTAGGGTTAAGACCAGGGTTAAGTTTAGGATTAAGAATAAAGTCCTAATCTTACTCTATTCTTTACACTCTCTCTCATTCTCTCACTCTTTCTCTCTCTCTCTCACTCTATCTCTCTCTCTTTCTCTCTCAGATAATCTTAATGGGGTTTTGCATATGCCTAATTATAACTTGTTATAAATTATAGTATGGCTGATGTTGACCTTAGTATTTGCTTGCAACTGTTAGACAACAACATATTGTGAGATTTATTTGCACAGATAATGGCAGTTTCCTTCTACTATGTCATCATCAGACTCCACACTAGGACGTGGTTGTTTTACTATGAGATCTATTTTGTTGTCATGTGCTGCAGAATGACTCTCAGCTCAAAACAGTCTAGTGTATCTGTTATGTACACAGAATGTGCTGTGTCTGGTAGTGCACTGTAATTTTTTTTTTCATAGTACAGCGCTATTTATGTGTAGGTAAGTCCACTCCTTATGTCCTATTTTAGCCACCTTAGAGTTGTATAATCTAATGGTATGTTAATGATTATCAGTCAGCTGTTTCTTAGCAACCAGGAGATGTGGTCAGGCCTCCCTCCCAAATTTAGCCTCTGGATGTGGCTTTTGCTAGTTCCCTAGTTGCAAGATGTTTGATGTGTGTTTGGCTGTTGTTAGGGACCTCGAGATTAATTCTTGCTGCTTTATTAAGGGTACTCACGGAGGAAGTACATTTGGGAACGGAGGTTCGTTAGTTGGATTTGCCATTGTGAAATGTACTGAGACAACCAGAAGCTACCAAGACTGCAAAATGTATTGTTTTTTTTCAAAATACAAATTGCAATATCTCAGTAAGTTATGAATTCCAGATATGTGAAAAGAGCCATATTATTAATTTTTTCAACATTGTGTCAATATGAGGTTTTCGAGGGCACCTTTGGGTCTTCAGTCATGCACTTAAAGGGCAGATCTCATGAAATAACCATGAGCATAAATGTGCTGCACGGTGCAACACTCAGGCTGGTTTAACATGCTATTTCACTTAGTGCAGAATCTGGGTCAGGGGGCAGCGGGCACATGCCCTCAGTGCCCTCACGCTCTGTCCTTGTCTAAGCTCTGTTTTCCATTTAACTAGGGGCCTTTTGGAGAGCCTTAAAGAGGGGGACGTGTCCACAGAACACGGCTTGGATTAGGATCAATTGGGAAGTGCTCCCAATCTAGACAGACTGCCCAGGCCTAATCCCCCGCAACCTAGCTGTTGGAGGCTGATTTGTTGACATGTTGTTGTTTACTGTCCCTCTTGTGCTTCTGTGGTTTATCTCAGCAGATATCAACGCTGTGGTGCTCACTCTGCTTCAGTCTTGTGCTGGTTGCATCGTGGATTACTACCTGCACACCTGGCACCCTCCTCCTGCCTCCCAATTCTCCTGTTGGTCTCCTGCAATATCGTCCAGCTGTGTGGCCACACAGGGCGCGATTCGCTGGAGCTCACCTGATTGGTCACCATGGCCTCTGGGACGACGCCTGCCTCAAGCTCGTTCCATATACTTGCGGGACAAAGCCACACAGGTCAGTCTCCTTGCAATTGGTCAGGGAACAAGGTTGTGTCGTCTATTCTTGAGATTCACTTTGTTTATCCTCAAGGACTGATGTTTTAAGATAGTGTTTAATGCAACAGGTCTGACGCTTTTGTTTCAGGCTGTTTGCATATCAGTGTGAGCTGTGCTTCTGCTGTTTCCAGAGGGTCAGGAGCTCTTGCCAATCACCTTCATCTAATCAATAGCTCTACTACAGTTGAAAATATTTAGTTGGGCGTTAATTTGTGTTCTCTGATAACATTAGGTGCATTTAAAGTTTTTATAACGACTATTAGTTGGAGTGTGTTCACAAGTAAAAGTGACAATGATGTATTGGACTTTCAAAGGTTATAACTTAAAAATAAAATAATTTCATTAGATTGGAAAATAGATTTTCAAACACAGAACATTGAAGAGGATAGTGTGGAAAAAATCATAAAGGAAAGATTGACATAAAAATGTTTTTGCAACATTTTTTAAACGTCCAAATTAGCCTCTTGATTGGGACCATTCTCTGAGACGCCAGTTACTTAGAAAAATATATTGTCCTCAGTTCTTGAATAAAGCAGAAGATTAAATCCCACAAGATTTTACATGGTTACCCAACAGGAGGAAATCATTGATATAAATAAGGATCGTTAAAAATAAAAAAAAAATTTATTATATGACCCCTGATAAATTGTATAACGGGGACTGTATGAGGACGGTACTCTTTTCTCTAAAAATTTAATCTTTGTGAAGAAAAAAAATCTGGTCTGTTTTCTATTTATCTTTGGTTGACAATTATGAAAAGTAATCACTTTGTATCTACTTTGTGTAAAAAGTAGTATATCTCTGAATCAAATGTGGACATCTGAAAAATTCACTATCAAACTTCCACAAAGCTCATTCCGTCAAATCATCACGTTCCGTCATTTACGATAAACAGGGTTTTGCTCTGTATAGGAAATTGTTCTATAGTATAATTCTGTTATGTTTTGCAACTAGGACAGAGGAGGTCGCTTGGAAACATGAAAAACATTAAAATATCTTCTGTCTGATTATTCAAATCAATTGTTTGGGCATTTTGTCACACTTTTGTGCCCTTTTGTGTGAACAAGCCCAGATACTAATTCTATCTAGTAGTATATATATATTTGTGTGAAAATGTTAATGTTCATTTTTCTTTGTCTTGAATGTATCTTATAGAATGTGTTGTCAATTAGCATTTTTTTCCCAATGCAGGTGAGTTTAGGTTTAAGAAGATACCTTTAATAATCTACATTGGGAATTTTCTGTGTTGCATCACTGGATAGAAGAACAGTAGGACTGGAGGGTCATATTAACGGAAGAATATAAGAATAATAACTCTTATACTCAAATAAAAATTGTCTGAGTCTATATTTAAATGGATATATCTATGATTGGTTTGATAATGTCATGGATGGTGGTTGCAGACCCAGGGCCTGGGGCACGATGAGAGGAGGAGGGGCTCTCACAAACGCTTCGGCTCCTGCTGGGCTAAGCACCGACCAGTCTCAAAAGTGGTAGGTGGACCAGGTGCCACTGTGTCTCTGTACAGTGATCACGGTGTGATGTGTCATTATGTCTTTTCTTTCATGATTGCAAAGTGTGCGGCAGCAGCTCCGCGCTGCAAACGCTGCAGCCGCTTCGGAGAGATAAAGAGCGCAAGTCGCCCTGTTATTGGCAGCACCACCATATCCAATCTCAGGTGAGCTGCGCGTTACTCTCCCGCTGGCAGAATACACAAAGAAAAAACTGGTTCATCCGGGGGGAGTGTTAGCTGCTGCAGTGTTCCTCTTCATGTAAGAACCATTGGTGGGTATGTTTATGACCCTTGATGCACTGCGTGGTCTCTTTACCCTGTTCCCTGTGGTGTAGCAGCTGTCCTTTCTCAGTCACGGCACAATGATAAAAGCACAATTGGTTCATCATCACTCTGTGATAAATGAGCTCCCCTTGCATACCTCTGGGGTTGTTTCATCTCCCACCACAAAAACAGTCATAATGATTGATGTTGATCTCGTCACAACTGTTATCAGGTTCATTGGTACACCATCGTTTACATGGGCGCTGGTCCCTATGCCCAAACATCTTGATACCCATTTTCCCTTCGGCTAGTCGTCAGACCCTCGTTTTCGCAAACAGCGTGGAGGGTCGCTAACCAGGAGATTGGCGGGTTTCTTCCGGGATCCACCCCGAGAAGGAGGAGGTCTTTGTTGTGAGTTGCCTCCATTTTCTGTCTCCGCTAAAACACCCACTGGAAACGAGAAGGATTAGCCGTTACATTAGCCTGGTTTTGTGGTGCCCTCAGCCTATGGACGTCCCAGATCGGGCACAGCGCTCCCCGCATGTGGTCCCCCAACGCAGCAGTAGCACGCGGAGCAATCGATACTCAGACGCCATCGGGGGGCGGGGGGCATGATCGGGAGCCAATAGCAACTGGGCAGGCAGACGGCCCGATCCATCTCACCCTCTTCCTCACTGTGCTGAACGACGACGCGACCGCAGGAGGGGGTGCGCGGTGCCATGTGGGGTCGTACTGAGCTGGGGCACCACAAAAACAGCTATGTAACGGCTAAATCCTTCTCCTGTGGGTGTTAGAAAAAACCGGAGACAGAAATGGAGCAAAACTCACAAACATTGACCTCCTCATTCCGGGGTGTACCGTGTTGATGAGCCGCTCATATATCCTGGTTGTGACCCTCCATCGCTGTGGACGAAAACGAAGGGGCTCTGGCGGACGAACTTGCCGATGGGAGATGGGGTATCAAGATGGTTTTGGGCATAGGGGACGCGCCACATGTAAAACAGATGTGAAACAAATGAATCTGATGTACTGTTTGTGACGAGATCAGACATCAATCATTATGACTGTTTTTGGGGGGAGTTGATCATCCCACAGAGGAATGCCAGAGCTCCTTTTATCACCATGTAGTTTTGAATGATGAACCAATTGTGCTTTTTCATTGTGCCGTTGAAATGAGAATGGACTAGCTGCTACTCCACAGGGAAAAGGTTGTATTGAGACACAGCTCTTGGGAAGAATGGGTCATAAACTTCACCATGGTTCTTACAGATGAGGAACTCTGCAGACAGCTATACACGGCCCCTGCCGGATAGAACTGTTTTTCTTTGTTGTATATGAAGCGGGCGACAGAGAAGCGCAGCTCACCTGAGATTGGATGTAATGGGGGGCTTGTGGCTGCCATTAAAGGGCGATCTTGCGCTCTTTTTCTCTACGATGACGGATGCTGCGTTTGCTGGCTGGAGCTGCTGCCGCAACTTTGCAATCTGATAGAAAAGACATAAATGTCACATCCACCGTGGATCACTGACCAGAGACACTGTGGGCACATGGTCCACCTTCCTATTTGAGATGGTCGGTGCTCCCGAGGAGGACCGAAGCGGTTTGTGAGAGACCCTCTCCTTCATATCGCCCAGGCCTCTGGGGGTCTGAACACACAATCATTTATCTTTTTATCAATCTAATCTTAGATTTAGCTTTAATTTAGTCATCTGACAATTTTATATGAGTTTAGAGTTATTATTCATATTTTTCTTCCGTTATATGACCCTCTGTCCTACTGTTCTGTAACCAGTGATGCTTCAATGATATTTCATAATGTGAGTTGATTTAAGGATCTCTTAATACTAAACTCATACTGCATTGGGACAAAATGCTTTATTGTCAACACCATGTATATAGGGATACTATTCAAGACAAAGATAATCGGACATTAAACATTGCACCATTATATATATGCTTGATGAATTAGTATCTGGGCTTGTTCACTCTTATGGGCACAAATGTGTGTCTTAAGGGCCAAATCTTTTGATTTGGTAGTATCAGAAGATTTTTATGTTTTTCATGTTTCCAAGCACTCCTCTGGTCCTTTGTTGCTAGTACATTAACGTTTATAAATTAGACAACGTTTCTATGCAGCCTGTTTATATTATTTGACGGACGTTGATGATTTGACGGAATGAGCTTTGTGGGATGTTTGGTAGGTATTTTCCAGATTACACATTTGTTTCAGAGATTCTACTTTTTTAACAAAAAGTAGATTCAAGTGGTTACTTTCATATTGTCACCTATTATATGTGAAAAACAGACCAGATTTTTTTTCTTCTCAAGTTGTAATTTTTTAGAGAAAAGAGGACCGTCATCATCACGTCCGTGTATACATTTTCAGGGGTCATCACCCTTTTAATTAAATTTTTTTTTTTTTTTACGATTCATTTTTTTATCAAGTGATTTCCTCTGTTGTGGTAACCATGTTAATCTTGTGGGATTTATTCTTCTGCTTTTTCAGACTGAGAAATTTTATTTTCTATGTAAACTGGCGTCTCAGGAGAATTGTCAATCAGAGGCTAATTTGGTACGTTTTATATTGTTTGCTTAACATTTTTATGTCAATCTTTACTTTTGAGTTTTTTTCACACTATATCTTCAATGGGGCTGTGTTTGATATCTTTTTCATTTCTATGTATGTAATTTTAGTTTTTAAGTTATATTCATTTTTTTAAAGGTCCAGATACTTCATGTTTACTTTACTGTGAACACAATAATTTTTTGTCTGTTTTAAAATTTTTATGCATCATATTGTTATTGAGGACACATTTTAACCCAACTTAATATTTTGAGTATAAGCTATTGATTAGTGTAGGTGATTGGCAGAGCTCTGATACCTACTGGAAGCAGCCTGAAGTGCAAAGCTCACTGCTGATTGCAACTGCCTGATAACAGCGTCTGACCTGTTTGCATTAATTCTATCTTATATAATCAGTCCTGAGGAAGAATAACAAAGTGAGTCTCAAGAATTGACGATCATCCTTGTCCTGTAATGGCAGGAGATGACTGGGTGGCTTTGTCCAGCATGTAGGGAAACGTGCTGGGTGCTGGATGTCGTCCTGAGGCAGGGACCAATAAGAGCGTGTGCGCCAGCGGTCGCGCCCTGTTGTGGGCCAAATGATGGTCGCGATGGCTGGAGTCCAACAGGGAGTAATGGGGTGGCAGGAGGAGGGGCAGGGCTTCTGGGAGGATTCATCGATGCAACGCAGCACAAGAATGAAGCAGAGTGTGCCCCACGGCAGTTGATTCTATGCTGAGAATAACCACTGGAAGCACATGAGGAAGTAAACAAAATAATGTCAACCAAATCTGCCGCCCACAGATGGTGCGGGGGATTTGGGCCTGGGCTGTTCTGTCTAGTTTTGGGAGCACTTTCGATTGATCCTAATCCAGACTGTTCTGTGGACACGGCCCCCCTCTTTAAGGCTCCAATGGCCCCTAGTTAATGGAATAAGGTGCTTAGACAAGGACAGTTCAGGAATTTTGGCGTGAGGGCACTGAGGGCTGTGCCGCTGCCCTGACTGGTTTTCTGCATCTATGTGGAATGCTGTTTACCAGCTGTTGGGTTGTGTTTGCTCCTGTTGTTGTCAGAATTAAGCTCATGGTTATTTCATGAGATATGGCCTTAAGTGCATGAACTGATGGTCCTAAGGTTGCCCGCGTTAAAAATCATATTGACAATGTTGAAATAATTAGATTTATTTGCCTCTTTTTTCACTTATCTGGAATAATTACTTACGGAGGATATTGCAAGTTTGTATTTGAAAATAATCAAACTTTGTGCAATATGGTGCGCTTGGTTGGTTCATGTTCATTTCACAATGCTAATCCAACTTACGATCCTACGTCCAATGTACTTCCCTCCGTGTAGTACTCTTAATTAAGCAGCTTGAATTATCTCAGTCCTACAACAGCAAACTCACACACATACATGCTGCATTAGGGGAGATAGCAAAGCACATCCAGAGGCTATATTTGGGAGGAGGCCTGACCACATCTCTGTTGCTAAGAAACAGACTGATGAGATTCATTAACATACATTTTTTTGGATATACTCTAAGAGGACTATGGAGTGGGGACTTACCTACACATAGAGCGACTGTACTATATATTTAATTTAATGTGCACTCCAGACACTGCTATTCTGTGTACATACAGTTACATAGACTGGTATTTGAGCTGAGGAGTCTGTCTTGCATGAGATCTGACAACAAATAGAGCTAATAGTAACACCTGGCCTTGTGTGGTGTCTGATGTAGGGACATAAGTAGAAGGACTGCCATTTCTGTTGAATATTATTCTCAACTATAGGTTGTTGGCTTATGACTAGTGTATAGAAAATACTATAAGTAATCATTGGCTACTATATTTTAACATGTTATGATTGTTGGCCCTATGCAAAACCCATTAAGATTAGCTTCCCTCTATTGACCACAAAAATATTATTCTTAATCCTTTCCCGAACCATTGCTCCCCTAGCCTCAATCCATTAATTTAGGAGGGCTATTGTGTTACTCCAATCAGGATGCTTCTCCTTTTATGTCCACTACTATGTTATGTATCCAGTTAAAAGCAAAGGAATTACAAACTTTAGTCTCCATTCAACAGAAATCTAATAACTCTGTTCCTCGGGGGCAAATTTACCAGTACAATTGATGAGCCGAGGTTTATTTATGGATAAAAGCTTACCTCAGAGTCGTTGCAGTTGGGGGAGAAGGCTTTATTTTATGCGCAGGGGGTTTTATTGCAGCCCTTTGGAAATGTGCAAAATAAATTTAGCGTAAAAAGCGGGCGCACAATCAAAAATAATCACTTAAAAATTAAATATAAAACGGGATTTTTTAGTTAAATTGATTCCATAGGATGTCAATTGGGCGTATCTATGTGGCAGCCAGTCTCTCCCGTTGTGGTGGATGGATGTTTTTCTCTCCCGGCAGATGCGGCACGACGGCGGAAGAGAATAAAGCTTTTTAACGCGGTTCAGGTCCAAACGTGTGCAGAGTTAAAAAATGATTAAAAAATGCTTAATATACTTGTGCTATGTTTGCGATCGCGGCGAGGGATAAGGCGATGGAAAACACACAGGCGGACAGGTAAATAGATAAAATAAGACAGGAGGAGGCGGAGAAGATGATGCTGGTTTCGTCTTGTGTCTGACGCGTCGGAACTGGGACCACGGTCAAGGCGCACGAGGGGCTGCGAGCACCGGATATGTACGGCTTCAAAAGAAAGCACGGACTTTGTAAACTCAACACCATCTAATCGTTTCTAAATTACAGACATACGGTCAAAAACATATGTAAATCCTTTCTTTTAAGGATAATTTCAAGGTGCAATTTTTCTTAATGGCTACAAAGTGTTTGATCGCTAGATGTAAGAGCTCACATTACTTAGTTTCTTCCCACAGTGCTGAAATGTCAGTGTGGCACCACTACAGAGGCAATAATGATCAATTATGTGATAATGCTTGAATCGAGTTGTTTTTCTCTTAAGTTAAGTTCAGTTGACTGTATTAAAACGAGATTTGCAATTGAGACAAGCAATTTTTGACCTTGATTCAAGAACTACCATTGCTTTTATTTTCTCATTCCAAGAGAGAAATTGTTTGTTATCTTTTTAAACAAGATAGGTTTTTCTTGTTCCAATGGCAAATCTTGTTCTAAGGCAGTCAAAATGTGAACAAAATTTAGATACATTTAGCCAATTTGTCTTTAATTCATCCATTTTTTGCTGTGTAGCTACTGGGACTGTTGGAATAAGGACACAGTTATCAACATAATTGATCGATATATACTATTTTACCATGTACATAGATGCAAAGTAATACAAATCTAACTATAGCATAATAAAGATGCAAGTATAAAATCACTCTACCGTTTTAGAGTCCAAAAGCCTGGAATTTTGGTGATGCAGATCTTGCTCTGCCACAGAGATGCTTGGAACATAAAAGGTGAAATGTCACGTTGCTTTTGTCATCTATGTAGAGGCTATCACGTGGAATTTTAATATAATAACTATATAACAACTTTGGATATAGATGTATCCTATATGAGTTATCAATACAGAATATTTGTATACGACCTCGCTTAGAGAAAATAAATAAACGAAACATGCAATTAAGTATATATATTTTTTGTGTTATGTTCCTTGTCTGTTATGCTGCTGCATTCAGGGGGGGTGTGGGAGCTGACCTTTCTAACCCCCTCTAGTGTGAAATTACAGATGTTGATGATCACTTTTTGGAATATTATTTAGTCTTGTAATATTGTCAGTGGTATAATACACAATCATCAAATTATCTGCTGTTTTAAATTATTTAAAAGTTAATGGTAGAATTTAAATCAGATTTCCTTTGATCCGTACAGGAAATTTCAGGTGCTGCCAGTGGTGGATTTTGCCACACTGGGAAAGATCTATAATACCCTAAAAGTTAAGTATATATATACTTTTTTTAATTGTGTTTCTTCAACGTAAGTACGGCTGGAATACTAGTAGGTGGGGGTTGATGATTTGTATTTATAAATATATGTAATAAAGTATTGTTAAATGGTCTTATAAAACTTATATCGCCTGTCAAAGAACATTTCTCAAACATGGGCTTATAATTATATTACACAATTAGTTCTTTAGTGGCAAATATTGCTCTAATGATTAAATACTCTAAATAATAAATTATTCCCATCTTAACATTTCCGGTTTGTGTTGTGTGCATCCGGTGAGTAGGCCTTGACGGCATGGAGCACGAGCCGTGACGTTGCGAGCTCGTGCTGATGCGCAGTTGTAGGGCGCGTGGAGCAGACAGCACATATTAATCACGAGCCCCTAGTGGCAAGCATCAGGAACAAACATGCAGTAATGGTGGTGAAGTGGGTTTAGTCATAACCCAACTTTCGACCTCTAACCTAAAAGGAGGGTTAAAAATAAATAAATAAGGTATTTAAAATAATGGTTTAAAAAATACGAGCTTTGTCAATTTAAGCGTCACTGTGTTTTAATTAGTCTATATAAATCGTCCCGCCATAATAATGACAGTTTATTCCCCCTCTGCAGTTTAATCTATGATACTTTTTTACTTTTGTCTGATTTCTTATTCTCTTACCTCTGGACATTTATCAAATTGCTCTGTTGTCCAATTGTGTGGAGCTATTTTTTTTTTATGATAAAAGATGTAATATTTTATTTTACTATTCATCATTGCACCAATATGCCCAATAATAAATATATACAGTCTATGGATGCCAATGCAGTATTTCCTAGTTTGGGACTTCCTCTTCCCTTAAAAAGGCAACATAAAATAATTCTGTTCGTTTGTAATGCGTCATATTTTTTTTTCACTAGATAGTTGCTATGCTGCAAGCCCATTTATCACATGTAAAATACCTAAAAATCTTGTTATGATTTATGTTGCAGATTAAATTACAGCGAATTTTAAATAAACATATTATAAGACCTAGAGCATTAAAAAGTCATTACCAGGGAGCAGATAGAAGGGAAAAAATTGTGAAAATTATCCTCAGTGACGCTCAAGTAATCTTTTAATAACAGATAAATCATTCGACACGTTTGATTAAATGCAGTAAACTCACAGTACAAGCCCAAATAACCAAAAAGCTTGCCCAAAATCCAAACTAAAGCAAAGTTAGAGGAACATTATTCATTACATTTATTGTGATTGTATTTTCATTTTTGACTCAAATTTTTTTACAGAAACTGTATTCCGGAACAGGAGCATAGCAATGGATAGGCCTTGTCCATTGAATGCATAACAGAACTTCATTATAATGATGCAAATATTTATGCAATACACATAAAACCTTTTTTTTTTATAACAAATTACAAAAACTGAATAAAATGAGATCTTTTTTTTTTCTTTATAAGCTGAAGAAGGCCGCGATGAGAATACACATGGTAAATCAGTCCTGTACAGCGCTATCTGCCTAAAGGCGCAGACAGCCCTTCACAGACGCACACACACACACAAGCAGATCACTCGTAACGCATGAAACAAACAAATGAACATGAATTCCAGCGTGCTGCAGTCAAGTTTGGTTTGTTTCTTTTTTTCTTCAAAATTGTGCAGTTCTATGTCTGTTACACAGTGAGGTCAGGTGGAGGATAGCGTTTACTACAGCAAGATAAAAGAGGGGCGATTGTATAAGACCCCGTGTAGATTTACTTACTGGTGAATGTGTGTAGTAGTTTATTTTGTGGAATTGTGCATGCAGGAGGTAAGAGGATAACATCCCTTTGTAGTTATAAGGTTGAATGTTTTGTACTTTAATAAATTGTCCATAAACGATTTGAATAAGGGATTGTCGTCCTCTAGAATTTAGGGATACATGTAGATTGTTACATATGTTTGTGAATACTCATAAGTGCAACTACAATGGACATCACAATGAAGAGGAGATAACAAAAAACATTTAATAAGCATCTAAAAGCTAAATTCCTATTGCACAATGAAAAATATTGGTAAAACATGGAATTCATAGACCAAAATGAGATTGCATACAAATTAAGGAGACACCATATAATTTGTTCTGTATTTTATGACGACACATCTTTCTTACAGAGCGTGATAAGCAAAACAACAGGTTGGAGAGATCGCTCAATGCTGATTGTTAGTCTGCCTTTGTACGTTATAGTGACATCTTCTTGTCGTGGTCGCGAAAGACAGGAACTTTAAAAAACATGATTTTTCTCAAAAGTGCACAAATGAAAATAAGGTAAATCCACTCAAAATGATGATATGCTAATGATTGAACAGTTATGTGATGCAAACAAAAGGGTGGCTGAATACATGGGGAACAACAGAAGCAGGATGAGAATGCTGCTTGATGGATTCATTAAAGCAATGCCATGTCAAAGATTACAGGAAGCAACAGACTTAGTAACTGTACATCATTCACCGCATCGTCAGCCTTCTCTCGTCGAGCTCAAGAAACCAAACCCGACCGCTCTGGTGACCTTTTCCTGTCCTGTGAAGGTCAACAGTCCACTCGTGGGTTGTCGCTGCCACCCCCTCGCAGATACCAGGCCGAAACTGGACAGGGGCCCGCCCCCCCCCCCCCGCGCCAAACCCCCCCCCCCTCCACCCCACCCCCCCCCATCCCCCCCCCCCGCTGCCGCCCCCCCCCCCCCCCCCCCCCCCGCCCATGCACGCGGGTGGAACCGTTGTGCTTTGACATCCGGTTCTTGCTGTCGGTGTCTGTTGGGTTGACCCTTGTGGTCGGTCTCCACTTTTTCACTGATAGAGGGAGTTTTGTAGCGCTTTCTTGATTTTATTCTCCTGAAACCAGGGCCCCATTCTGGCTGAACCAGGCCCTCCCTGGGGAATAGGGGAATAGGAAGGACACTGGTCTGTATCTTTTTGTGGGACACATATAATCCTAGTGGGCTTGCAACAGACTGAATTTGTATTTTGTAAAAAATGTCGTATATTAATTGGAATCCATCATGCTTTACGTGTGTGGAGAGTGAGTGTTGTCTTTGTAAAACACTGTCTGTTGTGATGTGCTTATAAGTAGTGTTTAAAAATCAAATAGTGAGGCCAGGTCCATAGTGTAGGGATGGACATGTCCAGGGGTTTGGTCTCGCGGGGCCGGGCGTGCTCGCGATGTCGGAGATAGAGCTTCTCCCCTCATGGTGTACCAGGCGTCACCCTGGTGGGTGGTGTGTGCTTAGACCTTGCCAAGCAGAGCTATCTCACAGGGGGTCCTGTGATTTCTCTGCCTGTGCTTCGGTGCTGTTGCCCTCCCTCTTCTGTGTTCGCTATCCCATTCTCCGTATCACGCGTTGCCCTGGCCGTAGCATGTGTTACTGTTGTTATTTTTGGTTGGTGGGTCGTAGCTCGTGCGCAGAGCAGACGGTTCTAGCTGCTCCCGCTCTCTGCTCAGGCAGGGGCTCGTGTTCGTCTGGATGGGCCCAGTGGATGACCCCCAGGCTGAGGCGGCCTGTCGTCTGAGCGCAGGGACGCATGGAGCCGGTTGCTGTTGGTTGAGATGGTGCTTGTGTGTCCGTTCACTGCTCCGTTCACGTGCATGGTCTCAGGACCGGCAGTTGTTGGTGCTGTTGAGCCTTGGGGTCATACTTGCCTGTCCAGACGAACACGGAGACCTCCTGTGCATGAGAGCGGGAGAGCTAGGACCCGTCCTGCTCATGCGCTCAGCTCGACCCAAACACCAACAATAACAACAGTAACAAAGGCTACGGAGGGCAAACGGTGACGGAGAAGGGCGAGGAGAGACGACACAGAAGAGCGAGGGCAACAGCTACAGCAGCACTAGGGCAGAGAGTAAGCACAGGGACCCCCTGGAAGGTGTGCTCTGGGAAAGGGATTTGCTGATCACTCCACCTGGGGGGGACGCATGGGCACATGAGGGCGTGAAGCTCATCTCAGGACAGCAGCGGCGTAGCTCGCAGGCCCGCGAGTGACCAAACGTCTGTCTCCTGGTATGTGTAACGGCATACAACTTTGGTCAGGGCAGATAGGAGTGGGGTGTGGGGTTCTATAAGTCTTTTTTGAGATGAACTTCTTGACGGGGTTGTGTCTTTGTCATAAATCACTGCAGCTCTATCATCGGTTGGATGGCGGTCGCGTGGCATTGGGGGTGTAAGTATGGGGGGTATTCGTGCAGTTGGATGGAGCGGTTAGGCCTGCGCCCTAGGTGGTTATGTCCGGGGGCACATCATGTAGTGTCGGTCAAGGGCCTGCCGATTCCCTATTCCCCTGGGGAGCGGGCCTTGGTTCAGCCGATGGGGGGCCCTTAGGGTTCAGGAGGGATAAAATCATAGAAGGCGTCCCAAAAGCTCATTTCTGTGAAAAAAGTGGGAGACGCGAACCACATGGGGTACATCCACTACAGAAAAGACAAATGAACCGGCCGAGGTCAATAACAACGGTTCCTCCCGCGGGCATGGGCACACTGGGAGTGAATACCGTATCCACCATGTCCAGTTCGGCCCTGTTTCATGCACGACCGAGGGGGGTGGCAGCGACATCCCCTCGGGTGTGTCTGTGGACATTCACTGGACTGATAAGCACCCAGAGCGGTTCGGATTCGTGTCTCGAGCTCCCGAGCTCGACGATGGCCCGGAGAGAAGGCTATCGAGTGAGGTGTTGATTGGTTGTTCTGTTACTACAGGTATGTTGTACATGTAGCTTTGACGATGGCATGGGATTTATATGGGTTGCACTGATTTGCAGCATTTATCTTCGCTTATGTTGTTCAAAATGTATTCAGCCACCCGTTGTTGGTGCATCCACTTAAACTGTTCCATTACGATGAGAACTAGCTTCATTTTGAGTGGGGATATTTCCTTTATTTTCATTTGTGCACTTTGTGATAAAATTCAGTGTCTGTTTTTTAAAGTTCCTGTCTGTTCGCCGACCACGCAAGAAGTGGTCTCTAAACGTAAAAAAGGCGAAAAGACTCAACAAAACAGCATTTAATTGAGCGCTTTTCTCCTTCTGTTGGTTTTGCTGTATCACGCTCTGTAAAAAGAAACCTAAGTCGTCCGTCTTAAAAGGACAGAACAATTATATATTGTTGTCTCCTTAATTTGTATGGCAATCTCATATGTCTTTTTTATTCATGTTGTCCATATTTTTTATTGTGCAATTAGGGATGTAGCTTTTAGATGCTTTTTAATGTTTATTTTGTTTCTCCCTTCATTGACCCCCGCCCCCCCCCCCCCCCCCCCCACCCCCCCCCCCCCCCCCCCCCCCCCCCCCCCCCCGTCCCCCTCCTGCTACTCCTCCCCCCTCCCCCCGTCCCCCCCCCCCCCCCCCCCCCCCCCCCACCCCCCCCTACACCCCTCCAAACACTAAAAACACAAAAAAACATACAAAAAAAAAACAAATAAAACAAACATAAAAAAACAGACCATGGTGAAAAACAACAAAAAAAAAAACAAAACCAAAATACAAAAAAAAAAAACAGTAAAGAAAAAACAAAAAAACCAAAAAGAAAAACAAAAAAACACAAACACAAAAAAAAAAACCTAAATAGGGAGTAGACACAAATCATATGTAACATTCTACTTTGTATCCATAAATCTAGAGGTCGCACAATCCCTTATTCAATCGTTTATGGACATTTTTTAAAGTACCATAAACCCACCCCATTCCACATTTATTTTTGAACATCGAAGCCGGTTGGTTTCCTCTTAACCTTCTTGCTTGCACAAGTACCACAATAATACTTTACACTTCATTCACACAGTATGTAAAACTAACGGTGGGGGCTTTTTACTATCGCCCTCTGTTTAACTTGCTGTATCGCTATCACCTGTACCTCTTGTGTAACTGACAGATGGACTGCTCCTTTTGAAGAAAAAAGAAACAAACCAAACTTGTCTGAAGCACGCTGGAATTCATGTTCATGTGTTTGTTTCATGCGTTTCGAGTGATCTGCTTGTGTGTGTGTGTGCGTCTGTGAGGGCTGTCTGCGCCTTTAGCAGTTAGCGCTGTACAGACGTGTATTTCCTTGTGTATTCTCAGCGCGGCTTCAGGGCTTATAAAAAAAGATCTCATTTATGTTTTTGTAATTTGTATGATAAAAAAGTTATGTGTATTGCATTAATATTTGCATCATTTTTATGAAGTTCTGTTATGCATTCAATGGACATGGCCTTTCCATTGCTATGCGTCCTGTTCGGTACAGTTTCTGTAAAAAAAATTGAGTCAAAATGAAAATAAATCTCAATAAATGTATGGAATAATTGTTCTCTAACTTTGCTTTAGTTTGGATTTTGTTCAAGCTTTTTGGGTTATTGGGGCTTGTACTGTGAGTTTACTGCTTTTAATCAAACTGTCGGATTGATTTATCTGTTTTTTTAAAGATTACTTGAGCGTCATTGAGGGTTAATTTTCACTAATTTTTTCCTTCTATTGCTCCATGGTTTAAATGACTTTTTAATGCTCTAGTCTTTAATTGTTTTTAGCGCTGTATTTAATCTGCTACATGATATCATCTTGTTTTTAGGTATTTTACATTGTGTTAATTGGCTTGCTGCATAGCTGCTTTATTGTGATAAATGAAAAGTTGACGCTTTACATACGGAACAGATTTATTTATGTTGCCTTTTTACAGGTAGAGGTAAGTCCCCTAACTAGGAATCTGCATTGGCATCTGACTGTATATATTAATTATGGATATGGTTGCATTTATAGGATATAGTATATTGAAATTAATCTATCATTAAATAGCTACACACTGTTGCCTACAGTGCAATTTGATAAAGTCCGAGGTATGAGATTAGAAATGTCCAAAAGTATAAAGGTTTCTAGTTATTAACTGCAGAGGGAAGAAATGTTCTTATGGCATGGGATGGATTTTTTTGATCTTATTTATAAACACAGTGACGCTTTAAATGATCAAGCTCGTTTTTTGTTAGACAATAAGTTTAAATACCTATTTATTTTTACCTCTTTTAGTAGAAAGTTGGGTTGATGACTAAACCAATCACATCCTTTACATGCATGTTGTTCCTGTTGCGCCTCTAGGGCTGTGTTTATGTTGCTGTCTGATCCACGCGCCCTCCTAGCAACTGCAGCGTTCAGCACGAGCTCCAACGTCTCGGCGCGTCTCCAGTGCGTCAAATGTACGCACGTGACACAACACACCGGAAAATGTTAAGATGGATTATTTTATTAATTAGTGTATATAATCATGTTGAGCATTATTTGCACTAAGGAACTTATTGTGTATTTATTTTTTTGCATGTTTGAAGAATTGTTCTTTGACAGGGCGATATAAGTTTTTAGACCTTTTACTATTCTTTTGACATTTAATATTTTTTTTTTTTTTTTACTAATCTGCTAACCCCTAATATAGTTGAATGCCGTTACTTACTTTTGATAGATTACACAATTTTTAATAGTTTTATGACTTTTCATTTAGGGTTGATAGATTGTTTCCTGTGTGGCATAAATCCACCAATGCAGCACTGAAATGTCTGTACGGTCAAAGGATATCTGATTTATTTCTTGCATTATCTTTAAATATTTTAAATCAGCAGATGTGATGTTTGTCTGATGATCCATGACTTTATTCTGACCTATATGATTATTCCAAAAGATCAACAACTTCTGTAATTTCACACTTGAGGGCGGGGTTTTATGAATAGGTCAGCACCCTGAATGCAGACAGCAGTACAGGACACAGGATCATAACATCACAAAATTATTTACTTTTGCATTGTTTAGTTTATTTATGTCTCTAAGCGTGGTCTATTACAATATTCTGTAGGTTACAGGCATTATTGGAGAATCTATTATCATATGTTGTTTTTATTATTATTTTATTTTCACGGGATAGCCATCTTCATAGAATGACAAGACGTGACATTTCTCTGTTATGGTACAAGTTTTTTGTGAGATTGGCATGTCTTGCATCTCCAAGAATTCAGCTTTTGGAATCTAAACGTTAGAGATTTTATAATTGCTCTTTATTATTGCTTAGTTAGATTTGTTTTTACTTGCTTCTTTGTAATTGTAAAATAGTTATAGTTCAATTATGGTGGGTACTGTGTCCTTATATTCCAACTGGTCTGTAGCCTTCAACAGCTAAATATAGATGGAATTTAAAGACACAATTTGGCTCTACAATGAATCTAAAATTTCGATCACATTACCCCCCCTTCCCTCCCCTCGACCCCCTCCCCCCCCCCCCCCCCCCCCCCCCCCCCCCCCCCCCCCCCCCCCCCCCCCCCCCCACCCTCTCCCCCCCCCCCCCCCCCCCACCCCCCCCCCCCCCCCCCCCCCCCCCCCCCCCCCCCCCCTAGAACAGATTTGCAGTGGAAACATGAAAAACTATCTTGTTTTAAAATGTTTCAGAAATTTTCTCTCTGGGAATGAGAATTAAAAGAATAGTCTTGAATCAATGTTCAAAATTGATTGTTCTCATTGGGCATATCTCAGTTTTAAGACAGTACCAGAATGAACTTAACTTAAGAGGGTAGAAAAAACAACTCGATTCAAGCTTTTCTCATATTGATCAATTTTTTGCTCTGGTTGTGGATGGCAAAAACTGACATTTTCAGCATGTGGGGGAATTAATGGAGCTCTTCATCTGGCGATCAAAAACGTTTGTAGCCTTTAAGAAAAATTGCACCTTGAAATAGTTCCTTATAAGAATATGGCCTACATTTGTTTTTGTCGTTGTCTGTAATTTTGAAACGATTTGATGGTTTGTTTAAAATGTCGCGTGCTTTTATGTTGTAGCAGTACTTCCGGTGCGCGATGCCCTCGTGCGCTTGGACCGTGGTCCCTCCGGTAGCGTCAGACAAAAGAACGAATCCAGCATCATCTCCGCCCTCTCCAGTCTTTTTATCTATTTTACTGTCCGCCTTGTGTGTTTTTTCATCGCCTTTACCTCGCCGCGATCGCATACACTCATGTATATTTAGCATTTTTATTCATTTTTTATCCTCTGCACGTTTGGTCGGGCGGACCTGAGCGTTAAAAAGCTTTTTCTTCAGCTCTCGTCGGTGCCGCTTCTGCCGGGGAGAGAAAAAAATCCATTCCACCACATACAGAGGAGGAGACTGGATGCAAACATAGGATACGCACATTTTGACTCCTACTGTATCAATTTAACTAAAAATCCCAGTTTATTTAATTTTTTGTGGTTTATTTTGGATTAGTGCGCGCGTTTTAGCGTTATTTTTTATTTTTGCTCATTTCCAATGCGGCTGCATTAAAACTCCCAATGCCTATAAATGTGATGCCTTCTCCCCAATCTGACGTCTCTGAGGGAGCTTGTTTTTCCTCTTAAATCCTCGGCTCCTCATTTGACTGGTAAATGTTGCCCCCGGGAGGACAGGGTGTAGTTCAGATTTTCTGTGAATGGAGACTTTATTTGTTTTCCTTTGCTTTTAAATGGATACTAGAATCATAGTAGTGACTTAATGGAGAAGAATGCTGTTTGGAGTAAACACAAGTGCCCTCCATTAAATTATGGATGGAGGCCTAGGGGTGGCGAATTGTGCGGTAAGGATTAAGAATAATATTTGTTGTGGTCTGAGAGGGAAGCTAATTCTTAATGGGGTTTTGCTTAGGGTCCTAACATTCATAACATGTTAAAAATATAGGAGGCAGATGTTTGACTGTAGTATTTGCTTGACACTGTCTAAGCACAACACCTATTGTGAGAATTATTTGCACAGAAATGGCAGTTCTTCATACATGTCTCATCAGACTCCTCACTAGGCCGAGGTTCGTTACTATGAGATCCTATTTGTTGTCGTGATCTGCAGACTGTCTCTAAGCTCTAATACAAGTACTAGTGTATCTGTTTGTACACAGAATGTGCAGTGTCTGGTTTTGGCACAGTAATTATAATTATTAGTACAGCGCTCTTATTTTGTTGTAGTAAGTCCACTCCTTATGTCATCGTTTATGGAGTTATTATCATAACATGTATGTTGCTAATGATTATCAGTCAGCTGTTTCTTGAGCACTATGAGATTGTGTTCAGCCTCCCCCAATATTTAGCCTCTGGATGTGCTTTGCATAGTCTCCCTTGTGCTGCATGTTTGTGTGTGTTTGGATGTTGTGAGGAACTGAGATATTTCATGCTGCCTTATATTAAGGTACTCACGGAGGGAAAGTACATTTGCGACGAGGTTCGTTTGTTGGATTAGCCATTGTGAAAAGTGAACATGAGGACACCAGAGCAACAGATGCCACTAATGTTATGATTATTTTCAAAATACAAACTTGCAATAGCTCTGGAGTTATGATTCCTGGTATGTGAAAAGAGCTATAAAATATATTATTTAACATGTGTCAAATTTGAGGTTTTCGAGGGCACCTGTGGTCTTCAGTCATGCACTTAAGGAGCCATAGAATCTACATGTAATATTAAATTGTGCCGAAATGTGCTGACTCGGTGTTTGCAACACACTTGGCTGGATTAAATCATGAATTCACTTAGTTGCAGAACAGGGCAGGCTGCGGGCACATGCCTCTCAGTGCCTCACGCTATGTCCGTGTCTAAGCTCGTTATTCCAGTAACTTGGGGCCTTTGGGAGCCCTTTAAGAGGGGGCCGTGGTTCCACAGAACAGGCTGGATTAGGATCAATCTGGGAAGTGCTCACCAAACCTAGACAGACTAGCCCAGGCCTAATTCCCCGCACAGCTTGTGGGCGGCTGTTTTGTTGACATGTTGTTGATTACTTCCTCTTGTGATTCTGTGGTTATTCTCAGCAGTTTTAAACGGCAGGGGTGCACACTCTGCTTCAGTCTTGTGCTGCGTTGCATAGTGGATTCTCCACAGCCCTGCCCTCATCCTGCCTCCCCATTTCTCCTGTTGGTCTCTGCCATCGCGTCCAGCTGTGGCACACAGGCGCGATCCGTGGCGCTCACTGATTGGTCCCTGGCCTATGGACGTCAGCCCTGGCACTCAAGCACGTTCCCTTCATGCGGGACAATAAGCCACACAGGTCAGTCTCTGCCATGAACAGGACAAGGTTTGAGACGTCTATTCTTGAGACTCACTTTGTTTCTTCCTCAGTACAGATGTTAGTTATTAAGATAGTGATTAATGCAAACAGGTTCAGACGTGTTTCAGGCAGTTGCATTCAGCTGTGAGCTGTGCTTCTGCTGCATCCAGAGGTTTCAGAGCTTCTGCCCAATCACTAACTAATTCAATCGCTTACCAGAAATATTTAGTTGGGTTAAATTGTGTATCAAGATAACATTAGGTGCATATAAAAGTTTTTAAACAGGACTAATAGATGAGTGTGTTCACAGTAATAGTGACAATTGAAGTATCTGACTTTAAAGGTTATAACTTAAATACTAAATATTATCTTTCATAGATTGGAAAAAAGATTTCAAACACCAGACACTTTAGAAGAGATAGGTGGAAAAATCAAAAAGGAAAGATTGTCATAAAAATGTTTAGCAACATTTTACTACGTACTAATTAGCCTCTGATTGGACCTTTCTCCTGTGACGCCAGTTACATAAGAAAATAAATTCCTCAGTCTGAAAAAGCAGAAGATTAAATCCCACAAGATTTACATGGTTACCACTTACAGGAGGAAATCACTTGATAATAAAAAGGAATCGTAATAAAAAAAAAAAAATTTAATTAATGACCCCTGAATATGTATAAGACGTGATGAGGACGGTCCTCTTTTCCTCTAAAAATATGTAAAATTGAGTAGAAAAAAAAATCTTGGTCTGTTTTCCATTTTTAATTGGTTGGACAATATGAAAGTTATCACTTTGAATCTACTTTGTGTAAAAAAGTTGAATCTCTGAATCTTTCAATTGTGGACATCGGAATATACTATCAAACTTCCACAATGCTCTTTTCCGTCAAATCATCACGTACGTCATATAAGATAAACAGGGCTGCTATAGGAAACTTGTCCTAATGTGTAAAAAAGTTATGGTTCTAGAACTAAAAGACAGAGGAGGTGCTTGGAACATGATAACATAAAATATCTTATGTTTATTACTATCAAATGTTTGGCCTGTTGTCACACTTGTTGTGACCACTTTAAGTGTGAACAAGCCCAGAATACTAATTCTATCTGTAGATTTATATTTGTGGAAATGGTAATGTCCTATTTCTTTGTTGTCTGAATGTATCTATAGTCATGTGTTGCAATAAAGCATTTTTGTCCATTGCTGTTGAGTTTCGGATTTAGAGATCTTTATTAATCTCACATTGGGAATTTTCAGTGTTGCGCCTGGTTACAGATCAGTAGGACTGAGGGGTCATTATAACGAAGAAAATAGGAATAATAAATCTATTCTCAAATAAAATTGCTGATTCTATTTTAAATGGTTAAATCTATGATTGGTTTGATAAATGTAATTGTTGTGTGTTGCAGACACAAGGGCTGGGAGAGAGAGGAGGAGGGCTCTCACACAACCGCTCGGCCTCCTGCGGGAGCCCGACCAGCTCAAAGAGGTAGGTTGGACCTGGTGCCACTGGGTCTCCTGAGTCTGTCGGATTCAAAGGTGGTTGTGACTGTTGTCTTTTCTTTCAGATTGCAAAGTTGCGGCAGCAGCTCCAGCGCAGCAAACGCAGCAGATCGTTTTATGTCGTGGGGGAGTAGATAAAGAGCGCAAGTCGCCCTTTAATGGACAGCACACCATCATCCAATTCAGCGGTGAGCTGCCGCTTCTCTCCCGCTGCAGGATACACAAAGAATAAACAGTTCATCTGTGGGCCGTGTTAGCTGCTGCAGGTGTTCCTCTTCTGTAAGAAACCATTGGTGATGTATTTGACCTTGTCTGCCAGCTGCGTGGTCTCTTTTCTCCTGTTCCCTGTGGAGGTAGCAGCTGTCTCCTTTCTCAGTCTCGGCACAATGAAAATGCACATGTGGGTTCATCATTTCAACGCTGTGATTAAATAGGCGCTGGCATCCTCTGGGGTTGATTCATCTCCCCCCAAAACAGTCAGATATGATTGAGTTGTTCTCGTCCACCAAATCTGTAATCCAGTTCATTTGTTCACTCTGTTTAAATGTGGCGGCAGTCCCTATGCCCAAAACCATCTTGATACCCTTCCCCAGTACAATCGGCAAGTAGTTCCGGCCCCCTCGTTTTCGCAACAGCCGTGGAGGGTCTCAACCAGGGATTGAGCGGCTCATCATCCGGGACACCCCGCGATGTGAGGAGGTCATTGTTGTGAGTTTTGACTCCATTTCTGTCTCCGCTAACAACCACAGGAGAGAAATGATTTGCCGTTACATTAGCTGTTTTTGTGGTGCACTCATGCCTCAGGAGTCCCAGTGGGCACGCGCTCCCCCTCCTGTGGTCCCCCATCGCAGCAGTAGCCGCGGAAGCATCGATACCCAGTCGCCTTCGGGGGGCGGGGCTCTGAGCGGGTGCATTAGCAACTGTGCAGCAGCCGGCCGACTCTTATCACCCCTACCTCCCTTGTTGACGAACGCGACCGCAGGAGGGGGAGCGCGGTGCCATCTGGGAGTTCGAGGCTGAGGGAACCTCAAAATCTGCTAATGTTTCGGCTAATCCTTCCGCTGTGGGGTGTTTGCGGAGACAGAAATGGAAGCAAACCTCACATACTATGACCTCCTCCTTCTCGGGGGTGTCCGGATGATGAGACGCTCAATCTCCTGGTTGAGACCATCCAGCTGTTGCGTAAATAAGAGGGGGGACGGACTTGCGATGGGGAATGGGTATCAAGATGGTTTTGGGCTTAGGGATGCGCCACAGTAAACAGTTGTGAAACATATGAACTGATGTACAGTTTGTGTCGAGAAGTCAACATCAATCTTTATGACTGTTTTGGGGGGAGGTTGAATCTACCCCAGAGGATGCAGAGCTCTTTTATCACAGTGTTGAATTGATGAAACCCAATTGTGCTTTTCTTTGTGCCGTGACTGAGAAAGGAAAGCTGCTACTCCAGGGAACAGGTGTAAAGGACCAGAGCAGTGCACATGGGTCTTAAACATCACAATGGTTCTTACAGATGTGGTACACTGCTGCTAGCTTTCACAGGCCCCTGGATGATCTGTTTTTTTTCTTTGTGTATCTTGGCAACGGGAGAGAAGCGCAGCTCAACTGAGATTGGATGTGGTGTGGCTGATTAAAGGGCGACTTGCGCTCTTTATCTCTCCGATGTCGGCTGCTGCGTTTGCTGCGCTGGAGCTGCTGCCGAACATTTGCTATCTGAAAGAAAATGTCATAATGTCTCTTCAACGTGGATCACTGACCTGAGACACAGTGGCACTGGTCCACCTACCTCTTTGAGCTGGTCGGCTGCCCCGCAGGTGGCGAGCGTTTGTGAGAGCCACTCCTCCTCTCATCTGCCAGGCCCTGGGTCTGAAACACACAATCAATTTAAATTTATCACCCATTCTTTGATTTATCCATTTAATATAGACTCTGCATTTTATTTGAGTATTGAGTATTATTCATTTATCTTCCGTTATATTGGAACCCTCAGTCCTACTGTTCTGTAACACAGTGATGAAACACTGAAAATTCCTAATGTGTGATTATTTATAGGATCTCTTAATCCTTAATCACTGGCATTGGACAAAAATTGCTTATTGTCTCAAACATGTCTATTGGATACATTCAAGACAAAGAATAGGACATTAAATTTCACAATATTATATATACTAGATAGAATTTGTATCTGGGCTTGGTCACCTAATGGGCACAAAAAGTGTGACAAAAGGCCTAACATTTGATTTGAATAATCAGAAGATATTTTATGTATTTCATGTTTCAAAGCACATCCATCTGTCCTTTGTTGCTAGAAAATTAACTGTTGTATACATTAGACAAGTGTCCTTTAGCATCCCGTGTTATCTTATCCATGCGGACGTGTTGATTTGACGGTATGAGCTTTGTGGAAGTTTGATAGGTATTTTCAGATGTCCACATTTGAATCAGAGATTCTACCTTTTTTTTTTTACCACAAAGTAGATTCAAAGTGTTACTTTCATATTGTCAACCAATTAAATGTGAAAACAGACCAGATTTTTTTTCTTCTCAAAGTTTAATTTTTAGAGAAAAGTGGACCGTACCTCTTCACGTCCGTTATACATTTTTCAGGGGTCATTTAATTAATTTTTTTTTTTTTTACGATTCCTTTTTTTATCAATTGATTTCCACCTGTTGTGGTAACCATGTAAAATCTTGGGGATTTATCTTCTGCTTTTTCAGTCTGGAGGACTTTTATTTTCTATGTAACTGGCGTCACAGGAGATGGTCCAATCTGAGGCTAATTGGTCGTTTATAATGTTGCTAAACATTTTTTTTGTCAATCTTTCCTTTTGTTTTTTTCCCACTATCTCTTCAATGTGTCTGTGTTTGAAATCTTTTTTCCTAGCTATGAAAGTAATTTTAGTTTTTAAGTTATAACCTTTTAATGTCCAGATACTTCAATTGTTATTTAACTGGGAACACACTCATCTATTTGTCTGTTTAAAAAACTTTATTTGCACTAATGTTATTCGAGACACAATTTAACCCAACTTAATATTTCTGAGTAAGCTATTGAGTAGTGTTGGGTTTGGCTGAGCTCTGAACCTCTGGAAGACAGCAGAAGCCACGGCTCGCAAGAGGATCAAATGCCTGAAACAGCGTATGACCTGTTTGCATATTCACTATCTAACTCAGTCCTCAGGATGAAACAAAGTGAGTCTTCCAAGATTTGAAGATCTCTACCCTTGTCCTGTCATGCAGGAGACTAGACCTGTGGGGCTTTTGTCCCGCATGTCGGGAACTTGCTGGTGTGGCTGTCGTCCTGAGTCCAGGGGGAACAATCAGGTGCGCGCAGCGGTCGCGCCTGTGTGGGCCACAGCTGGACGCGATGGCAGGAGACCAAACAGCGAGAATGGGGAGGCAGGGAGGAGGGGCAGGGCTGGGAGAATACGATGCAACGCAGCAACAAGACTCGGAAGCAGAGTGTGCACCTCTGACGTTGATATCTGCTGAGAATAACCTCAGGGAGCACAAGAGGAAGTAAAACAACAAACATGTCAACAAATGGCGCCCTCAGCTGGTTGCGGAGGGATTAGGCCTGGGATGGTCTGTCTAGGGTTTGGGAGCACTTCCAGATTGATTCCTAATCCAGCTGTTCTGTGGACAACGGCCATCTTTATGGCTCCAAAGGCACCTAGTTAATGGAATAAAGAGCTTAGACATGGACTGAGGTGAGGGCAATGAGGGCATGTGCACGCTGCCCTGACCTGATTCTGCATCTAAGTGAATGCATGTTTAACAGCCTGTGTGTTAGACACCGTGTCAGCACATTTTTGCTCATGTTATTTCATGAGATCTGGCCGTAAGTGCTTGTCTGAAGACCCAAGGTGCCATCGAATTCCTAATTTAATTGACATCATGTTGAAATTAAGAGATTTATTGCTCTTTTCACATATCTGGATCATTTTTACTGTGATATTGCAAGTTTGTATTTGAAATAATCAAAACATTGTGATCTGGTGGCTCTGGGTGGCTTCATGTTCATTTCACAATGGCTAATCCAAAATAACGAACCTACGTTCCAAATGTACTTGCCTCCGTGAGTACTATAAATTAAGCAGCATGAATTATCTCAGTCCTAACAACAGCCCTAAACACACACATCAAACATGCTGCACTAGGGAGAATATGCAAAGCACATCGAGGCTAAATTTGGGAGGAGGCCTGTCCACATCTCTGGTGCCTAAGAAATCAGAGGACTGATTTCATTAACATACTATTTTTGGATAATACTCTATAGAGGACTTAAGGTGTGGAACTTAACTACCATATAGCGCTAGTTACTAAATAATTATAATTACTGTGCTCACCAGACACTGCACATTCTGTGTACATACAGATACACATTAGAATGGTTTTTGAGCTGTGAGTCACAGCTGCAGAAAAGCTCATGACAACAATAGAGCTCATAGTAACACTCGGCCTAGTGTGGAGTCTGTTGAGGGACTTAGTAGAAGGAACTGCATTTCTGTGCTTATAATTCTCAAATATAGTTGTTTGCTTTGACTGTGTCAAGCAAAGATAAGTCAACATCTGGCCTACTATATTTTAACATTTTTGATGTAGGCCTATGGCAAAACCCCTTTAAGTTTAGCTTCCCTCTCTGACCACAAACATATATTATTCTTAATCCTGTCCCGGCTCCATTTGCCACCCTAGGCACTCCATCCATTAATTTATGAGGGCACTTGTGTTTCTCCAAAAAGTTGCTTCTCCTTTTTGTCACTACTATGAATCTAGTATCCATTTAAAAAAGCAAAGGAAATTACAAATATAGTATCATTCTCAGAAAATTACTACTCTGTCCTCCGGGGGCAACATTTACCAGTCAAATGTTGGAGCCGAGGTTTTTTGGAAAAACAGCTTACCTCAGAGACGTGCGTTGGGGAGAAGGGCTTCACTTTTTATGGCATGGGGGTTTTAATGCAGCCCTTTGGAAATGTAGCAAAAATAAATACGCGTAAAAAAAGCGCGCCACTAATCCAAAATCAATCACTTAAATTAAATAAAACGGGATTTTTTTAGTTAAATTGATAACAGTAGGATGTCAAAATGGGGTATCTATGTTGCGCCAGTCTACTCCTCGTTGTGGGGGATGGATGTTTTGCTCTCCCGGCTGATGCGGCACGACGGCGGAAGAAAAGGCTTTTTAACGCGTTCAGGTCAAAACGTGCAGAGATAAAAATGATAAAAATGCTAAATATACATGTGTGTTTGCGATCGCGGCGAGGGAAAAGGCGAGAAAAAACACAAGGCGGACTGAAAATAAGATAAAAATAGACGGAGTGGGCGGTGATGATGCTGGTTTCGTCTGTGTCTGACGCGACGGAGGGACCACGGTCAAGGCGCACGAGGGCTGGCGCGCACCGGAAGTACTGCTACTAAACAAAAGCACGCGACATTGTAATAAAAACCATCTAATAGTTCAAAATTAGCAACGGGTCAATAATCAATATGTAAGTCCCATATTCTTTTTAGGATATATTTCAAGGTGCAATTTTTCTTAAAGGCTACAAACGTGTTTGACGCAGATGAAGAGCTCAGTATTTCGTCCCACAGTGCGAAATGTCAGTGTTTGCACCACTTTCAGTGCAAAAAAATGATCAAATATGAGTTAATTGCTTGAATCGAGTGGTTTTTCTCTTAAGTTATGTTCTTTTCTGACTGTTCTTTAAACGTGATTTGCCAATGAGACAAGCAATTTTGACTTGATTCAAGTTACTATTGCTCTTTTTTTCTTCATTACAAGAGAGAAATGTTTCTCCCTATCTTTTTAAAACAAAGATAGTTTTTCTTGTTTCCATGGACAAATCTTGTTCTAAGGCAGTCATAATTGTGATCAAATTTTGATACATTTAGCCAAATTGTCTTTAATTCCATCATTTTTTGTGTGTAGCTATGACCAGTTGGAAATATTGGAAACAGTACAACATATTTGGAACTATAACTATTTACAATTACAAAGAAGCTAGTAAACAAATATAACGTATCGCTAATAAAGATGCAAGGTAAAATCTCTATCGTTTTTGAGTCCAAATGCCTGAATTCTTGGAGTATGCAGACTTGCCTCATCCAAAGATATGACTTGTACTTTAAATGTGAATATGTCACTGTTGTCATCTATGTAGTGGCTACTCCGTGATTTATAACAATTATAATATTAAAATACTATAGATAATGATGTATCCAATATGCCGTATTCAATACAGACATTTTGTTTGACCACGCATTTGAGAAATAATAAACGAAAACATGCAAAAGTATATATTTTTTGTGTGTTATGTCTTGTACTGTGTTACTGATGCTGCAATTTCAGGGGGGGGTTTGCTGACCTCTATCCACCCCTAAGTGTGAAATTATCAGAAGTTGTGATCATTTGGAATAATATATAGGGCATGAATATAGTCAGTCCGATCACACAATCATCACATCTGCTGTTTTAAATATTTAAAAGATTATGGCTGATTTAATCTGTATATACTTTGATCGTTTACAAGACATTTCAGTGCTGCATTGGTGGATTTTGCCACGCTGGAAAAATCTATAAAACCTAAAGTATAGTATAAAAATATTAGTAATTGTGCTTCTTCAAATAATTAAGTACGGCATGCAACTGTTGTAGGGGGTAGAGATTGTATTTATATATATATGTAAAAAAGTATAGTTTAATGGTCTATAAACTTATATCGCCCTGTCAAAGAACAATTTCTCAAACATGCAAATAAATAAATACACAATTAGTTCTTTAGTGGCAAATAATGCTCAAATTTGATTTACATACTCTATTTTAATAAAATATTCATCTTAACATTTCCGGTGTGTTGTGGGCACGTGGTAAGCTTGACGCACTGGAGACGCGCCGTGAGTTGGAGCTCTGATGATGCTGCTGTTGCTAGGGAGGTGGAGCAGACTGCACATAAACACGAGCCCTAGTGGCCGCTTCAGTACAACATGCTGTAATGGAGGTAGTGGGTTTAGTCATAACCCAACTTTCGCCACTAAAAGAGGGTAAAAGAAATAGGTATTTAAATTAATGTCTTACTCAAAAACGAGCTGTGTTCATTTAAGCGTCACTGTGTTTTAATTAGTCTAAAAATCTCCCGCCATAAGAACAGTTTCTTCCCCTCTGCAGTTATAACTAGAACCTTTATACTTTTGTCAGTTTCTAATCTCATACCTCTGGACATTTATCAAATTGCACTGTGGTCAAAATGTGTGTTAGCTATTTAATGATAGAGGTTATTTATTATATACTATTTTCTTATATTGCACCATTTGCCAATAATTATTATATACAGTCTTTGATGCAAATGCAGATTCCTTGTTTGGGGACTTCCTTCTTCCTTTAAAAGGCTACATATAAATAATTAAGGTTCCGTTTGTAATGGTATCTTTTCTTTTTCACAAGAAAGCTGCTATGCTGCAAGCCATTTATCACATGTAAAATACCTAAAAACATGTATGATTTCATGTTGCAGATTAAATACAGCGATAAAAACATATTAAAAGACCTAGAGCATTAAAAAGTCATTACCAGGGAGCAGATAGAAGGAAAAAAATAGTGAAAATTAACCATCAATGACGCTCAAGTAATCTTTAAAAAAACAGATAAATCAATCCGACAGTTTGATTAAAAGCAGTAAACTCACAGTACAAGCCCCAATAACCCAAAAAGCTTGAACAAAATCCAAACTAAAGCAAAGTTAGAGAACAATTATTCCATACATTTATTGAGATTTATTTTCATTTTGACTCAATTTTTTTTACAGAAACTGTACCGAACAGGACGCATAGCAATGGAAAGGCCATGTCCATTGAATGCATAACAGAACTTCATAAAAATGATGCAAATATTAATGCAATACACATAACTTTTTTTTCATACAAATTACAAAAACATAAATGAGATCTTTTTTTATAAGCCCTGAAGCCGCGCTGAGAATACACAAGGAAATTACAGGATGTACAGCGCTAACTGCTAAAGGCGCAAGACAAGCCATCACAGACGCACACCACACACAAAGCTGATCACTCGTAAGCATGAATCAATATTACATGACATGAATTCCAGCGTGATTAGACAAGTTTGGTTTGTTTACTTTTTTCTTCAAAAGGAGCAGTCTCTGTCAGTTACACAGTGAGGTCAGGTGTTAGCAGGATTCAGCAAGTTTTAAAAAGAGGGCGTTGTAAAAGAACCCCCGTGTAGTTTACCATACTGGTGAATGTAGTGTAGTAGTGTATTGTGGAATTGTGCATGAGAGGTTAAGAGGTAACTTCCACTTTGAGTTAATAAAGGTTGATTGTTTTGTACTTTAAAAAAAATTGTCCATAAACGATTGAATTAAGGATTGTCGTCCTCTAGATTTAGGGATACATGGAGATTGTTAACATATGCATGTGACCTACTCATAAGTGCAACAACTAATGACAAACACAATGAGAGGAGGCGAAAACAAAATAACATTAAAAAGCATCTAAATGCTACTTCTATTGCACTAATAAAAATTTTGGTACTACAGGAATACAAAAGACAAAATGTGATTGCATACTAATTAAGGAGACACATATATAAATTTGTTCTGTCTTTTAAGACGTCACTTCTTTTACAGAGCGTGATACAGCAAAACAACAGGTAGGGAACGCTCAATGCTGATTGTTAGTCTTCGCCTTTGTACGTTTAGAGGACAACATTCTTGTCGTGGTCAGCGACAGACAGGAATTTTAACTCTGATTTTTCTCATAAGGAACAAAATGAAAAAGGAAATCCACTCAAAATGATGCTATGCTCATGATTGGAACTGTTTAAGTGATGCATAAAACAAAGGGTGGATGAATACTATGGGGTCACAGAAGCGGATGTGAATGCTGAAATTGCAGGATTACCATTTAATGCTATGCCATCGTCAAAGTTACAGAGCAACAGTCTTAGTAAATGTACCTTCATTCTCCGCAACTCGTAGCCTTCTATCGTCGTGCTTTTTTTTCCCAGGACACAACCCCGACGCTCTGGTGCTTTTCAGTCCTGTGAAGGTCCACAGTCTCACGTGGGTTGTCGCTGCCACCCCTCGCAGATACTGGGCCGAACTGGATTGGGCCGGTTCTCCTGGTGCACCATGCCCCGGGTGGAAACCGTTAGTTTATTGACCTCGGTTCTTTATGTCGTGTCTGTAGGGCGGAACCTTGTGGTCGGTCTCCACTTTTTCACTGAATGAGGGCGTTTTGACGCGCTTCTTGATTTTTTATTCCTCATGACCAGGGCCCCCTTCTGGCTGAACCAGGCCTCCATGGGGAATAGGGAATTAGGAAGGACACTGGTCAGTATCTAATGTGGCCACTATCATTAAACCTGTGGGCATGCAACAGACTGAGATTAGATATTGTTAAAAAATGTCGTATAAAAATTGGAATCCTCAGGCATTACGTGTGTGGAGAGTGAGTGTGTATTTGTAAAAAATACACAGTATGTTGTTGATGAGCTTATAAGTAGTGTTTATAAAATCACCTAGAGAGGCAGGTCCATAGTGGTGAAGGACAAGTCCGGGAGTTTGGTCTCTCGGGCCTGGCGTGCTCGCGGCTGTCGGAGAAAGAGCTTCTCCCCTAATGGGACCTGTGGTCCCCCTGGGGGAAGTGTGTGCTTAGCCCTTGCCAGGCTCTCTCCTGGGGGTCCTGTGATTCTATGGCCTAGTGCTTCTGTGCTGTTGCCCTCCTACTTTGTGTCGCTCTCCCCTTCTCCGTCTCCGTTGCACTGGCCGTTGACTGTGTGTACTTGTTTTGGTTTTTATGTTGGTGTTGGGTCGAGCGTGTGCGCATAGAGCAGACGGGTCTAGCTGCTCCCTCTCTCTGCTCTGGAGGGGCTCGTGTTTTGATCGTCGGGAATGGCAGTGATGGAACTCACCACTGGCTGATGTGGCGCTGTCGTCAGTGCGCAGGTACGCGGGAGCCGGGCTGATGGTTGAGTGGAGATTGTGTGTCCGTTCACAGTCCGTTTCTCGTGATGTCTCTCAGGACCGGGCTGATTGTTGGTGCTGTTGAGCCTGTTGGGTTCATCACTGCCAGTCCAGACGAAACACGAGCCACTCTGAGCAGAGAGCGGGAGCAGTAGTCCCGTCTGCTCTGCGGCTCTGCTTCGACCACAACACAACAATAACATACAGTAACACATGGTACGGCCAGGGCATCGGAGCGGAGAAGGGTGGCAGGAGGTGGGAGAGCGACACCAGGAAGAGGAGGGCAAAAGCACAGAAGCACTAGGCAGAGTAAGCTCAGGACCCCCTGGAGAGAGTCTGGGAAATGGGCTAAGCAGCAACACTCCACTGGGGGGTCGCACTGGTCACCATGAGGGTGAGGAAGTCTCTTCTCCGACAGCCCGCGGAGCACGCCCCGGGCCCAGAGGAGGACCAAAACTCCCTGGACTTGTCCTTCACACTGATGGACATGGCCTCTCTAGGTGATTTTTTAAAACACTCTTATATGCTCATCACATCATGACTGTGTTTTAAAATGACACACTCACTCTCCTCACACGTAATGTTTTACATGAGGATTTCCAATTTTTATACGACTTTTTTACTAATATCTTAATTCGTCTGTTGCATGCCCACTGGTTTATGATGTGCATCAGTAGTTAGATACTGACCAGTGTTCCTTTCCTATTCCCTATTCCAGGGCGAGGGCCTGGTTCAGGCCAGATGGGGCCCTGGGTTCAGGAGATATAATCATGATGCGCGTCTAAAAATCGCTCTTTACAGTGAAAAGTGGTGGGGACCGTCCACATGGGTCATACCTACAGACGACACAGATGAACCCGGAGGTCAAATAACAACGTCCACCGGGGCATGGGACACAGGGATGAACCGGCCCCAGTCCAGTTCAGGCCCTGTATTGCGACGGGGGTGGCGCGACATCCCTCGTGTGACTGTGACCTTCACTGGATCTGAATTGCAACAGAGCGGCGGGTTGTGTCTGTGCTCGACGAGAGCAGGATACGAGTTGCGGTGGAATGATGCCTTCTGTATCTAAGTCTGTTGCTCCGGTATCTTTGACGATGGGGGGGGGGCCCCCCCCATTGCTTTTATTTGGAATCCAGTACTGCAGCATTCTCATCCGCTTCTGTTGTCCCCATTATTCAAGCCACCCTTTGTTTTGCATCAACCTTAATTCAGTTCCTTCAATGAGCATAGATCATTTTGTGTGGATTTTCCTTTTTTATTTGTGCACTTGAGAAAATTCAGTGTTTAATAGTCCTGTCTGTCGCGTCCACAGACAAAGAAGTTGTCTCTATAACGGTACAAAGGCGATAGACTATCAATCAGCTTTGTGCGTTCTCTTACGGTTGTTGTGCTGTTCTACGCTCATGTATAAGAGAGGGTCGTCTATTAAAAGACAGAACAATTTTATATTGTGGTCTCCTTAATTTGTATGCAATTCATTTTGTCTTCTGTATTCAATGTTTGTACCATATTTTTGTTTGTGCAATAGGATGTAGATTTTAGATGCTTTTTATTGTTATTTGGTTTCTCTCTCTTGGTGGTGTAAGTGTTGTTGAACTTATGTGTAGTCACAATCATATGTATCAATCTACATGTATCCATTAAGCTATGCTGGACGACAATCCCTATTATTCATCGTTTATGGACATTTTTTTAAAGTACACAAAAACAGTTCTTCCTTTATGAACTCAAAGTGGTTGTTCTCTTAAACTGTGCTGCACTATTCCACTATAAACTTAATACACTACATTCACCAGTATGTATAATACTCGGGGGTCTTTTTACAATCGCCCTTGTTAACTTGCTGTTTTCACGCTATCACCTGACCTCACTGTGTAACCTGACGGAGACTGATCCTTTGAATGAAAAAAGTAACAAACCAATCTTGTCTTGATGCACGCTGGAATTTCATGTTCAGTGTTTGTTTCATGCGTTTCGAGTGATCTGCTTGTGTGTGGGTGTGCGTCTGTGAGGGCCTGTCTGCGGCCTTTAGCAGTTAGCGCATTGTAGAGACGTGTTTTTTCCTTGGGTATTATCAGCGCGGGCTTCAGCTTGGCTTATAAAAAAGATGCGCATTGAGTGTTTTTGTAATTTGTTATGTAAAAAAAGTTATGTGTAGTTGCAGTAATATTTGCACATTTTTTATAGTTCTGTTATGCATTCTCTATGGACATGGCCTTTCATTGCTATGCGTCCTGTTGGTACAGTTTTGTAAAAAATTTTGAGTCAAAATGAAAATAAATCTCACATTAATTGTATGGAATAATTGTTCTCTAACTTTGCTTTTAGTTTGGATTTTGTTCATGCTTTTTGGGTTATTGGGCTGTGTTCTGTGAGTTTACTCTTTTAATCAAACTGTAAGGATTGATTTATGCTGTTTTTTTATAAAGAATTACTGGAGCGTAATGATGGGTTAAAAAATTTCACAATTTTTTTCCTTCTATCTGCTACCTGGTAATTGTCTTTGTAATGCTCTAGGTCTTTTAATATGTTTTTATAGCTGGTGTTGATTTAATTCTGCAAATGTAAGCATACTTGTTTTAGGTATTTTTCTTGGTGTTTATTGGATTGCGCATAGCAGCTTTCTTGTGAAAAAGAAAAGGATGACGCATACAAAACGGAACAGAATGATTTATGTTGCCTTTTTTAAGGAAGAGGTGGTCCCAATTTTGAATCTGCTTTGGAATCATAGAATGTTTATATATTAATTATTGGCATATGGTGCAATATATGAATAGTATATTTAAATTACATCTATCATTAAATAGCTACACACATTTGACAACAGTGCAATTTGATAAATGTCCAGAGGTATGAGATTAGAAACTGACAAAAGTATAAAGGTTCTAGTTATAACTGCAGAGGGGAAGAAACTATTCTTATGGCGGGAGATTTTTAGACTAATTAAAACACAGTGACGCTTAAATGAACACAGCTCGTTTTTGTAAGACCATTAGTTTAAATACCTATTTATTTTTACCCTCTTTTAGTCGAAAGTTGGGTTTTGAACTAAAACCACTCACCTCCAATTACTGCATGTTGTTCATGAGCGGCAATTGGGGCTAGTGTTATGTGCTGTTTGCTCCACGCGCCTAGAAATGCGAGCACTCTGCACGAGCTCCAACCGTCACCTAGCGCCGTCTCCAGGTGCGTCCAAGCTAACGCACGTGCACATCAACATACTCCGGAATTGTTTAAGAGGGAATATATTATTATTGTAGAGTTTTTATTCATGTTGGAGCATTTTTGGCCACTTAAGAACTTTTGTGTATTTATTTATTTGATGTTTGAGATTTGTTCTTTTGACAGGGGCGATTATAAGTTATAGACATTTACTATACTTTTTAATATTATGTTATATATATACTAATTCTGCTTCCCCTACTACGTGTTGCATGCGTTCTTACTTTGTAGATTACACAAGATGTAATTGTGTTTTACTATTCATTTGGTTTTATAAGATTTTTCCCAGTGTGGCAAATCCTCAAATGCAGCACTGTAATGTCTGTTAGGATCAAGGATATCTGATTTTAATTACTAGCAGTAATCTTTTAAATTTTTTTAACTACAGCAGATGTGATGATTGTGTGATTCACTGCTATATTCATGACCTATATATTATTCATATTGATCACAAAATCTTCATGTAATTTCACACTTGTGGGGGGTTAGTGGGTCAGCACCCTGAACTTGCAGCAGCAGTACAGACAAGGAATACATAATCACTATATATATTTACTTTGCTATGTTTGGTTATGTTTTTTCTCTAAGCCGTGGTCTATACAAATATTCTGTTATTGATTAAGGCATATTGGATTCATCTTTTATCATAGTTGTTATTATTATTATTTTATATTCCCGGGATTGCATCTACATAGATGACAAGCTCGTGGACATTTTCTGTTAAGTTACAAGTCATATTGTGGAGAGGCAAGTCTGCATACTCCAAGATTTCAGGGCTTTTGGACTCTAAAACGTTAGTGATTTTATTCTTGTTTCATTTTTAAGCTTTAGTTTGATTTGTTTTACTTGTTCTTGTAAGTGTAAATAGTTGGAGGTCATCTTATGTTTGTTAATGAGTCCTCTATTCAACTGGTCTGTAGCTAACAGCAAAAATTCCCCAAAAATTAGATGGTATTAAGACAATTTGCTAATTGTATCTAAATTTGATCACATTTTGACTGCCTATAGAACAAGAGTTGCCTGTGGAACAAGAAAAACTATATTGTTTTTTAAATAAGTTAAGAAACATTTCTCTCTGGAATGAGAAAATAAAGGCATTTGTTCTGGATTCAAGTTCAAAATTGCTTGTCTTATTGGCCAAATCTCGTTTTAAGACAGTCTGAATGAACTTAACTTAAGTGAAAAACAACTCGATTCATAGCAATGATTCTCCTATTTGATCTTTTTTTTGCACTGTAGGGGGTGCTACACTGACATTTCAGCACTGTGGTAGAATAATGGAGTCGTATCTGCGATCTATCACGTTGTAGCCTTAGAAAAATTCTGCACCTTGAAATAGATCCGTAAAAGAATATGGCGCTTACATATGTTTTGGACCGTTTGTCTGTAATTTTGAATACGAATTTGATGGTGTTTGTGTTACATGTCGCTGTGTTGTATTTTGTTGCAGTATTCCGGTGCGCGCTTGCCCTCGTGCGCCTTGACCGTGGGTCCCTCGTCGCAGTCAGATCAACAAGACGGAAACCAGCATCATCCTCCGCCCTCTCCTGTCTATTTTATCTATTTTATGTCCGCCTTGTGTGTTTTCTACGCCTTTCCCTCGCCGCGATCGCTAACACACATGTATATTTAGCTCATTTTTATCTTTTTTTATTCTGCAACCGTTTGGGACATGATATAACGCACGGTTAAAAAAGCTTTTTCTTCCGCACGTCGTGCCGCATCTGCAGGGAGAGAAAAACATCCATCCAACCACAACGAGGAAGGATGACTGGCTGCATCATAGATACGCCCATTTGACTCCTACTGGATCAATCTTATATATTCTAAAAATCCCGTTTTATTTAATTTTAAGTGGGAGTATTTTGGATTGTGGCGCGCTCTTTTTACGCGTATTTTATTTTTGCACATTTCAAAGGGCTGCATTAAAACCCCATGCATAAAAGTTGAAAGCATTTCTCCCCAACTGCACGTCTCGAGGTAAGCGTTGTTTTCCATAAATCTCGGCTCCATCATTGACTGGTTAATGTTTGCCCCCGGAGGGTCTGAGTTGTTGATTTTTGTGAATGGAGGACTATATTTGTATTTACCTTTGCTTGTTATATGGATACTAGAATCATGTTGTGGACATAAAAGGAGCATGCATGCTGTTTGGAGTAAACACATTGGTGACCTCATTATATTTATGGATGGAGGCTAGGGGTAGGCAATGGTGCGGAAAGGATTAAGATTAATATTTGTTGTGGGTCAGAGTGCGGGATGCTAATCTTTTTGGGGTTTTGCATAGGCCTTCATTAATTACCATTGTTTAAAATTTAGGTAGGCCAGTTGTTGACTTAGTATTTGCTTGACACTGTTAAGCACAACAAACCTATTGTTGTGAATTATTTGCACAGTATTGGCAGTTCCTTTACTATGTCCTCATCAGGGAATCCACACTAGGCCCGAGGTTGTTTAACTATGAGTTCTATTTGTGGTCATGAGCTGCAGACTTGACTCTCAGCTCAATTACCAGTCTAGTGTTTCTGTTGTACACTGATATGTGCAGTGTCTGGTCTCTGTGCAAACAGTATTTATAATTATTTAGTACAGCGCTTTTATGTGTGGTAAGGTCACTCCTTATGTCTCCTCTTTAGAGTTTTATCATAAAAAGTATGTTATTGAATATCAGTCAGCTGTTTCTTAGCAACAGAGTTGTGGTCAGGCCTCCTCCCAAATTTAGCCTCTGGATGTGCTGTTGCTTGTCTCCCTAGTGCTGATTGTTTGTGTGTGTTTGGCAGTTGTTAGGACGGAGATAATTCATGTTGCTTAATTAAGAGTACTCACGGGGGAATAGGAAGTAAATTTGGACGGTGGTTCGTTGTTGGATTTAGCCATTGTGAATATTGAACATGAGTCAACCAGAAGCAAACAGATGCACAATGTTTGATTATTTTCAAATACAAACTTGCATTATCTCAGTTAGTTATGATTCCAGATATGTGATGAAAAGTGCATTAAATCTAATTTTTTCAACATGTGTCATATGAGGTTTTTCGAGGGAAACTTGGTCTTCAGTCATGACACTTAAGGGCCAGATTCATGAAATAACCATGAGCATAATGTGCTGACACGGTGACACAAGGTGGTTAAAACATGCATTCACTTTAGTGCAGATTTCAGGGTCAGGGCAGCGGGAACATGCCCTCAGTGCCCTCACGCTCTGTCCTTGTCTAAGCTCTTATTCCATTAACTAGGGGCCTTTGGTGCAGCCTTAAAGAGGGGGCTGTGTCAACAGATCAGGCTGGGTGGATAGGATACATTCTGGTAAGTGCTCCAAACCTAGACAGACAGCCACCAGGCCCTAATCCCCCGCCACCAGTGTGGTGGCGGCTGATTTGTTGGACATGTGTGGTTTACTTCTTCGTTGTGTTCCTGTGGTTTTTCTCAGCTGATAGTCAACGGCAGTGGTGCACACTCTGCTTCAGTCTGTGTGCTGCGTCGTTGCCATCGTGGATTCCTCCCAGACCCTGCCCCTCCTCCTGCCTCCCCATTCTCCTGTTGGTATCCTGCCATCGAGTCCTGCGGTGGCCCCTCAGGGCGGCGACCGCTGGCGCTCACCATGATTGGTCCTGGCTCGGACGACAAGCCAGCTCCAGCACGTTCGCCCTACATGCGGGACTCAAGCCAACACAGTGTCAGTCTACTGCAATGACTGGACAAGGTTGAGTCTCTATTCTTTGAGATCACTTTGTTTGCTTCCTCAGGACTGTGTTATAAGATAGTGATTAATGCAAAACAGGTCAGGAGCTGTTTAGGGCAGTTGCATTCAGCTTGTGTGCTGTGTTATGCTGCTTCCAGAGGTTACAGAGCTTGCCAATCACAACACTATCAATAGTCTTACACAGAAATATTTAGTTGGTTTAATTTGTGTCTCAGTTAACATTAGGTGCATATAATAGTTTTTTTAAACAGTTAATAGAGAGTGGGTCACAGTAGCCCCCCCCCCCCCCCCCCCCCCCCCCCCACCCACGCCCCCTCCCCCCCCCCGACTATTGATAGTATCTGGACATTTTATATGTATATAATTAATATACTAAATTTCTTTCATAGATTGGAATAAATGATGTTCAAAACTCAGACACATTGAAGAGATAGTTGTGGAAAAAAAAATCAAAAGGAAAGATTTGACATAAAAATGTTTAGCAAAATTGTAAACGTCCAAATTAGCTCTGATTGGACCATTCTCCTGTGACGCCAGTTACATAGAAAATATAATGTCACTCAGTCTGAATAAGCAGAAGTATTAAATCACCACAAGATTTACATGGTTTACCACAAAAGGAGGAGGAAATATTGATATATAAAGGAATCGTAAAAAAAAATAAAAAATTGAAGTAAATGACCCCTGAAAATTGTATAACGGACGTGATGAGGTCGGTCCTCTTTTATCTAAAAATTAAACTTGAGAAGTTAAAAAATATCAGGTATGTTTTCACATTAATTGGTTGTCCATATGAAGTATCACTTTGAATCATACTTGGTGTAAAAAAGTTGTATCTTTCTGAATAATTGTGGTAATGTCTGAAAATAACATATCAAAACTTCCACATAGCTTCTTTCCGTCAATTCATCACGTCAGTTCCTATAAAGATATTCAGGGCTGCTATAGGAAAAAATTGTTAATGTATAAAACAGTTATGTTTAGCAACCTAATGGGACAGGGAGTGTGCATTGGAAAATGAAAAAATACTTTTAAAATATCTTTGATTATTCAATATCAAATGTTTTGCATTTGTCACACTTTTGTGCCCTTTTGTGTGAACAAGCCCAGATTCTAATTCTATTAGTATATATATATTGTGAAATGTTAATGTCCTGATTTCTTTGTCTTGAATGTATTACTTGAGAAATGTGTTGACAATAAGCATTTTTGTCCTTTGCAGTTGAGTTTAGAATTTATGAGATCCTTGAATAATCTCACATTTAGGATTTTTCAGTTGTTGCATCACTGGGTACAGACAGTTAGTTGGACTGAGGGTTCTATAACTGAAGTTAAATGATTATTTACTCTATTACTCAATTAACAATTGATGAGTAATATATTTAATTGGATTAAATCTAGGATTGGTTTGATAAACTGTTAATTGATTGTACGTGTTGCAGACCCCAGGGCCTGGGCAGATGAGAGGAGGAGGGGCTCTCACCAAACGTAGGCCTCCTGCGGGAGCAACGTCCAGCTCATAGAGGTAGGTGGCCAGGTGGCACGGTGTCTCTGGTCTGTGATCAACGGTGGATGTGACAATTATGTCTTTTCTTTCAGATTGCCAAAGTTGCTGGCAGCTGCTCTCAGCGCTGCAATACGGCAGCATGCCGTTCATCGGAGAGATATAGAGCGCACAGTCGCCTTATTGGCAGGCCACACCATCATCCAATCTCTGGTGAGCTGCGCTTCTCTCCCGCTGCAGATACACAAAGAAAATCAGTTCATACGGAGGGGCCGTGTTTAGCTGCTGCAGTGTTCCTCTTCTGTAAGAACCATTGTGATCGTTTATGACCCATGATTGCACTGCGCTTGTCTCTTTTACACCTGTTCCACTGTGGAGTAGCAGCTGTCCTTTCTCAGTCACGGCACATGAAAAAGCACAATTGGGTTCATCATTCAACTCTGTGATTAAAAGGCTCTGCATCCTCTGGGGTTGATTATCTCCCCCCAAAACAGTCATAACGATTGATGTTGTATCTCGTCACAAACTGTACATCCAGTTCATTGTTCACATCTGTTTTAATGTGGCGCATAGTACCCTATGCCAAAAAACCTTCTTGATACCCATTCCACATCGGGCAAGTTGTCCGACCTCGTTGTCGCAACAGGTGGAGGGTCTCAACCAGGAGATTGAGCGGCTCATCATCCGGGTACTAACCACGAGAAGGAGGAGGTCATAGTGGTGAGTTTGCTCCATTTCTGTCTCCGCTAACACCACAGGAGAAGGATTAGCCGGTTACATTAGCTGTTTTTATGTGGTGCCCTCAGCATATGGACGTCCCAGATGGGTCACCGCGGCTACCCATCCGTTGGTCCCCCTACGCTAGCAGTAGCCAAAAACGCGGAGCATCGATACCCAGGACGCATCGGGGGGCGGGCTGAGCGGGAGCATAGCAACTGCAGCAGCCTAGGCCCGACTCCTTCTCACCCTCCTACAATTCACAGTGCTGAACGACGCGTCCGCAGGTGGGGGAGCGCTCGGTGCCCATCTGGACGTCCTGAGGCTGTGGGCACCACAACAAAACAGCTAATTGTAACGGCTAATCCTTCTCCTGTGGAGTGTTAGCGGAGACAGGAAATGGAGCAAAAATCACAACAATGACCTCCTCCTTCTCGGGGGTGTCCCGGATGTTGAGCCGCTCAATTCCTGGTTGAGACCCTCCACGCTCGTTGCGAAACGAGGGGCGGACGGACTTGCCGATGGGAATGGGTATCAAGATGGTTTTGTGATGGGGACTGCGCCACATGTAAACAGTTGGGATCAATTGAACTGGATGTACAGTTTGTGACGAGTTCAACATCAATCATTATGACTGTTTTGCGGGAGTGATGAATCATCAGAGGATGCAGAGCTCGTTTTAATGAGTTGAATGATGAAACCATTTGTGCTTTTTAGTGTGACCGTGACTGAGAAAGGACTAGCTGCTACTCCACAGGGAAACTGGTGTTAAAGAGACCAGCGCAGTTGCATCATGGGTCATAAACATCACCAATGGTTTTACAGAAGAGGAAACACTGCTGCAGCTTACTCGGCCTCCGGGATGAACTGTTTTTCTTTGTGTATCTGCAGCGGGAGAGAAAGCGCTGCTCACTGTGATTTGGATGATGGTGTGTGGTGCCATCAAAGGGCGACTTGCGCTCTTTATCTCTCGTTGATGGCGCTGCTTTGCTGAAGCTGGAGCTGCTGCAGCAACTTTGCAATCAGAAGAAAAGGACATAATGTCACATCCACCGTGGATCAATGTCCATAGACTCAGTGGAACCTGGTCACCATACCTCTTTGTGCTGTCGGTGCTCCCGCAGGAGGACGAGAGTTTGTGAGAGCCCTCTCCTCTAAGCTGCCCAGGGCCCTGGGGGGTCTGCATAACACCACCATTCATTACAGTTATCAAACCAATCATAGATGTATCCATTTTATATTGATCTCAGCAATTTTATTTGAGTTTTAGAGTTATTTTTTTATTTTTTTCAATTTAATTTCTTCCGATATATGTACCCGCAGTCATATGTTCTGTAACCAGTGATGCAAAACTGTAAATTCCCTAATGTGAGATTATTAAAGGATCTCTTAATCTAATCTCTACTGCCATTGGACAAAAATGCTTTTTGTCAAAACATGTCTATAGGATACAATTCAAGTCAAGAATTAGGGACATTAACATTTCACATATATTTATATACTAGATAGATATTTGTTATCTGGGCATGTTCACACTAAAGGGGCACAATAGTGTGGACATAAGGACAAAATTTTGATTTGAATAATCAGAAGTTATTTTATGTTTGTCATGTTTCAAGCACGCCTCTGTCCTGTTAGTTGCTAGAACATAAGTTTTATCCATTAGACAAGTTTCCTATTAGAAGCTGTTTTATCTTTTTGTCGGAACGTGAAGGATTTGACGGATTGAGCTTTGTGGGATGTTGGATAGGTATTTTCTGAATTGTCCACATTTGATTCAGAGTTTCTTACTTTTTTACACAAGTAGATTCAAAGTGTTACTTTCATTTTGTCAACCAATTAAATGTGAAATAGACCAGATTTTTTTTCTTCTCAAGTTTAATTTTTAGAGAATAGAGGACCGTCCTCATCACGTACGTTTTACATTTTTCAGGGGTCATTAATTAAATTTTTTTTTTTTTTACGATTCCTTTTATTATAAAGTGATTTCTTCCTGTTGTGGTAACCATGTAAATCTTGTGGATTTAATCTTATGCTTTTTCTGACTGAGGACATGTTATTTTCTATGTATACTGGCGTCACAGGAGAAGGTCCAATTCAGAGGTAATTTGGTCGTTTAAAATGTTGATATAACATTTTTATGTCCTTCTTTCATTTTGATTTTTCCACAACTATCTCTTCAATGTGTCTGTGTTTGTTAATCTTTTTTCCAATTCTATGGAAAGTTAATTTTAGTTTTTATGTTATTACCTTTTAAGTCCAGATACTTCAATTGTTATTTACTGTGAAACACACACTATCTATTAGTCTGTTTAATAACTTTATAGGACCTAATGTTATCTGAGACACAATTACCCAACTAAATAATTTTCTGAGTAAGCTATTGATTAGTGTTGGTGTGTGGCAGAGCTCTGAATCATCTGGAAGCAGCAGAAGCACAGCTCACAGTGATGCAACTGCCTGAAAAAAGCGTATGACCTGTTTGCATAATCCTATCTTATAACTCAGTCCTGAGGAAGAAACAAGTGAGTCTAAAGAATAGACGTCTCAACCTTGTCTGTATGGCAGGAGACCTGACTGTGTGGCTTTGTCCCGCTTGTTGGGAACGTGCTGGTGTGGCTGTCGTCCGAGGCCAGGGACCAATCAGGTGAGCGCCGCGGTCGCGCACTGTGTGGGCCTCAGCTGGACGCGAGGGCAGGAGACCAACAGGAAGACATGGCGGAGGAGGAGGAGGGGACAGGGCTGGGAGGATCACGATGACAACGCAGCACAAGACTGATGCTGAGTGTGCACACGGCCGTTGATTTCTGTGAGAATAAACCACATGAAGCTACAAGAGGAGTAAACAACAACAGGTCAACAAATCAGCCGCCCACAGCTGGTGCGGGGGGTTTAAGGCTGGGCTGTCTGTCTAGGTTTGGAGCACTTAAAGACTTGATCCTAATCCAGCCTGTTCTGTGGACCCGGGCCCCTTCTTTAGGCTCCAAAGGCCTGTTATATGGAATTAAAAGTGCTTTAGACAAGACAGAGCGTGAGGGCACTGAGGGCATGTGCCCGCTGCACTGTCCTGTTTCTGCACTAAGTGAATGCATGTTTATCCAGCCTGAGTGTTGCACCGTGGTCAGCACATTTATGTCATGGGTTTTCATGAGATCATGGCCCTTATAGTGCATGACTGAAGTACCAAAGGTGCCCTCGAAAAACCTATATGAACATGTTGAAATAATTAGATTTTGTGTCTTTTCACATATCTGGAAATATAAAATTACTGAGATTTTGAAGTGTGTATTTTTGATTAAAATAAAAACATTGTGCTTGGTTGCTGGGTTCTGGTTGTTCATGTTCATTTCAACAATGGCTAAATTCCAACTAACGATCCTCCGTCCAAATGTACTTCCTCGTGAGTTACTAATTAATTAAGCAGCATTGATTTATACATCAGTCCTATCAACAGCCAAACACACACAAACATGTGCACTAGGGAGAATAGCATAGCCATCCTGAGGCATAAAATTGGGGAGGGAGGCATGACCACATCTCTGTTGCTAAGAAACAGTGACTGATATTCATTATATATACATTGTATGATAATACTCTAAAGAGGACATTAAGGGAGTGGAACTTACCATACACTTAATTTGCGCTGTACATATAATTTAATTACTGTGCACACCAGTCACTGAACATTTCTGTGTACATACAGATACACTAGACTGGTATTTGAGCTGAGAGTCAGGTCTGCAGCTTCTTGACAACAAATAGTGATCTTAGTAACTCCTCGGCCTAGTGTCCGAGTCTGATGAGGAAATGTAGGAAGGAACTGCCATTCTGTGCTAAATAATTCTCACAATGTGTTGTTGTGCTTAGACAAGTGTCAAGCAAATACTAGGTCAACATCTGGCATTTATATTGTTAACATGTTATGAATGTAGGGCCTATGCAAAACACTTTATGATTAGCTTCCCTCTTGACCACTACAATATTTTTCTTATCCTTTCCGCACATTGCCACCCCTAGGCCTCCATCCATAATTTATGGGGCACTATGTGTTTACGCCAAACAGCATGCTTCTCATTTTATGTCACTACTATGTTTCTAGTATCCATTTAAAAGCAAGGAAATACAAATTTTAGGTCTCATTTCACGTAATCTACTTCTTCTGTCTCTCCGGGGGACAACATTTACCAAGTCAATGAGGAGCCGAGGAGTTATGAAAAACAAGCTTCCTCAGAGACGTGCAGTGGGGAGAAGGCTTCCTCTTTTATGGCAGGGGGTTTTAATGCAGCCTTTGGAATTGTGCAAAAATAAAATATGCGTAAAAAGCGCGCACTATCAAAATAATCCACTTAAATTAAATAAATACGCGGATTTTTAGTTAATATGGATACAGTAGGAGTACAAAATGGGCGTATCTATGTTGCAGCCAGTCTCCTCCTCGTTGTGGTGGGATGGATGTTTTTCTTTCACCGGCAGATGCGATCGGACGGCGGAAGTAAAGCTTTTTTAACGCGTTCAGGGTCAAACCGTGCAGAGATAAAAAATGATTAAAAATGCTAAATATCATGTGTGTTTGCGATCGCGGCGAGGGAAAGGCGAGAAAACACACAAGGCGGACAGAAAAATAGATAAAATAGACAGGTGAGGGCGGAGATGATGCTGGTTTCGTGCTTTGTGTCTGACGCGGAAGGAGGGACCACGGTCAAGGCGCACGAGGTCAGCGCGCACCGAAGTACTGCTACATATAAAAGCACGCGACATTGTATACAACACCATCTAACGTTTCAAAAATACAGACAACGGTCATAAAACATATGTAAGCCCATATTCTTTTAAGGATATATTTCAAGGTGCATTTTCTTAAAGGCTACAACGTGTTTGATCGCAGATGAAGAGCTCCATTATTAGTCCCACAGTGCTGAAAGGTCAGTGTTGCACCCCTACAGTGACAATAAATGTTTTCAAATATGAGGATAATTGCTTGAATCGAGTTGTTTTTCTCTTATGTTCAAGTTGCATTCTGACTGTCCTTAAAACGGATTTGCCTATGAGACAAGAAATTTTGACTTGATCAAGAACTATTGCTTTATTTTCTCATTTCCAAGAGTGGAAATGTTTTTTTTTTTTTTTTTTTTTTTCCTATCTTTTTAAAACATGATAGTTTTTCTTGTTCCACTGGCAATATTCCTTGTTCTAAGGCAAGTCAAAAGGTGGACTCAAATTTAGATTACTATTTAGCCAAAATGGTCTTTAATTCCATCATTTTTGATGTGTAGCTTCAGGACCAGTTGGAAATAAGGTACACAGAATACAACATAATTGAACATAACCTATTACACTTTACAAAGAAGAAGTAAAACAAATCTAACTATTGCATAATAAAGATGTTACAAGTATAAAATCTCTTAACGTTTTAGAGTCCAAAGCTGAATTCTTGGAGTATGCAGACTTGCTCTCCACAGATATGACTTGTTACTTAACGAGATAATGTCTCGTGATGTCTTCTAAGTAGGTGGCTATCCCGTGAATATAAAATAATAATAATAACAACTATGATAATGTGTATCCCAATATGCCGCCATAATCTATTACAGAATATTTGTATAGGTCCAGCTTAGAGATATATATAAACGAAACATGCAAAAGTAAATATATTTTGTGTGTTATGTTCCTTGTCTGTACTGCTGCTGCATTCAGGGTGCTGACCTCTAACCCCCCTCAAGTGTGAAATTACAGATGTTGTGATCATTGGATAATATATAGGTCTTGATATAGTCGTGGATCACTCAATCATTAATCCGCTGTTTTAAATATTTAAAAGATTATGGCTAGAATTAAATCCAGATTATCCTTTGATCCGTACAGAGACATTTCAGTGCTGCATTGGTGGATTTTGCCACACTGGGAAAAATCTATAAAACCCTAAATGTATAGTATAAAACTATTATTAATTGTGTATCTTCAAAAGTAAGTACGGCATGCAACTAGTAGTAGGGGGTAGCAGATTAGTATTTATAAATATATGTAAAAAGTATAGTAAATGGTCTATAAACTTATATCGCCCTGTCAAAGAACAATTTCTCAAACATGCAAATAAATAAATACACAATTAGTTCTTTAGTGGCAAATAATGCTCAACATGATTAAATACTCTAAATAATAAAATATTCCATCTTAACATTTCCGGTGTGTTGTGTGCACGTGCGTAGCTTGACGCACTGGAGACGCGCCGTGACGTTGGAGCTCGTGCTGATGCTGCAGTTGCTAGGGCGCGTGGAGCAGACAGCACATAAACACGAGCCCCTAGTGGCCGCTTCAGGAACAACATGCAGTAATGGAGGTGAGTGGGTTTAGTCATAACCCTAACTTTCGACTAAAAGAGGGTAAAAATAAATAGGTATTTAAACTATTGGTCTTACAAAAACGAGCTGTGTTCATTTAAGCGTCACTGTGTTTTAATTAGTCTAAAAATCTCCCGCCATAAGAACAGTTTCTTCCCCTCTGCAGTTTTAACTAGAACCTTTATACTTTTGTCAGTTTCTAATCTCATTACCTCTGGACATTTATCAAATTGCACTGTTGTCAAATGTGTGTAGCTATTTAATGATAGATGTATTTAAAATATACTATTCATATATTGCACCATATGCCAATAAATAATATATACAGTCTATGATGCCAATGCAGATTCCTAGTTTGGGACTTCCTCTTCCTTAAAAAGGCAACATAAATAATTCTGTTCCGTTTGTAATGCGTCATCTTTTCTTTTTCACAAGAAAGCTGCTATGCTGCAAGCCATTTATCACATGTAAAATACCTAAAAACATGTATGATTTCATGTTGCAGATTAAATACAGCGATAAAAACATATTAAAAGACCTAGAGCATTAAAAAGTCATTACCAGGGAGCAGATAGAAGGAAAAAAATTGTGAAAATTAACCATCAGTGACGCTCAAGTAATCTTTAAAAAACAGATAAATCAATCCGACAGTTTGATTAAAAGCAGTAAACTCACAGTACAAGCCCCAATAACCCAAAAAGCTTGAACAAAATCCAAACTAAAGCAAAGTTAGAGAACAATTATTCCATACATTTATTGAGATTTATTTTCATTTTGACTCAATTTTTTTTACAGAAACTGTACCGAACAGGACGCATAGCAATGGAAAGGCCATGTCCATTGAATGCATAACAGAACTTCATAAAAATGATGCAAATATTAATGCAATACACATAACTTTTTTTTCATACAAATTACAAAAACATAAATGAGATCTTTTTTTATAAGCCCTGAAGCCGCGCTGAGAATACACAAGGAAATACACGTCTGTACAGCGCTAACTGCTAAAGGCGCAGACAGCCCTCACAGACGCACACACACACACAAGCAGATCACTCGAAACGCATGAAACAAACACATGAACATGAATTCCAGCGTGCTTCAGACAAGTTTGGTTTGTTTCTTTTTTCTTCAAAAGGAGCAGTCTCTGTCAGTTACACAGTGAGGTCAGGTGATAGCGATACAGCAAGTTAAACAGAGGGCGATTGTAAAAAGACCCCCGTGTAGTTTACATACTGGTGAATGTAGTGTAGTAGTTTATTGTGGAATTGTGCAAGCAGAGGTTAAGAGGAAACATCCACTTTGAGTTAATAAAGGTTGAATGTTTTGTACTTTAAAAAAATGTCCATAAACGATTGAATAAGGGATTGTCGTCCTCTAGATTTAGGGATACATGTAGATTGTTACATATGATTGTGACTACTCATAAGTGCAACAACAATGACAACACAATGAGAGGAGAAACAAAATAACATTAAAAAGCATCTAAAAGCTACATCCTATTGCACAATAAAAAATATGGTACAACATGAATACAAAGACAAAATGAGATTGCATACAAATTAAGGAGACACAATATAAAATTGTTCTGTCTTTTAAGACGACACTTCTTTTACAGAGCGTGATACAGCAAAACAACAGGAAGGAGAACGCTCAATGCTGATTGTTAGTCTTCGCCTTTGTACGTTTAGAGACAACTTCTTGTCGTGGTCGCGACAGACAGGACTTTAAACACTGATTTTTCTCAAAGTGCACAAATGAAAAAAGGAAATCCACTCAAAATGATGCTATGCTCATGATTGGAACAGTTTAAGTGATGCAAAACAAAGGGTGGCTGAATACATGGGGACAACAGAAGCGGATGAGAATGCTGCATAGCTGGATTCCATTTAAAGCAATGCCATCGTCAAAGATACAGGAGCAACAGACTTAGTAACTGTACATCATTCACCGCACTCGTAGCCTTCTCTCGTCGAGCTCAGACACAACCCGACCGCTCTGGTGCTTTTCAGTCCTGTGAAGGTCCACAGTCACACGTGGGTGTCGCTGCCACCCCCTCGCAGATACAGGGCCGAACTGGACTTGGGCCGGTTCTCCCTGTGCCCATGCCCGCGGGTGGAACCGTTGTTATTGACCTCCGGTTCATGTGTCGTGTCTGTAGGGATGACCCATGTGGTCGGTCTCCACTTTTTCACTGAATGAGGCGTTTTGACGCGCTTCTTGATTTTATCTCCTGAACCCAGGGCCCCATCTGGCTGAACCAGGCCCTCCCCTGGGGAATAGGGAATAGGAAGGACACTGGTCAGTATCTAATGTGGCACATCATAAACCAGTGGGCATGCAACAGACTGAATTAGATATTGTAAAAAATGTCGTATAAAAATTGGAATCCTCATGCATTACGTGTGTGGAGAGTGAGTGTGTCTTTGTAAAACACAGTCTGTTGTGATGAGCTTATAAGTAGTGTTTAAAAATCACCTAGAGAGGCCAGGTCCATAGTGGTGAAGGACAAGTCCAGGGAGTTTGGTCTCTCGGGCCGGCGTGCTCGCGGCTGTCGGAGAAGAGCTTCTCCCCTCATGGTGACCAGTGCGTCCCCCTGGGGGAGTGTGCTGCTTAGCCCTTGCCCAGAGCTCTCTCCAGGGGGTCCTGTGCTTTCTCTGCCTAGTGCTTCTGTGCTGTTGCCCTCCTCTTCTGTGTCGCTCTCCCCTTCTCCGTCTCCGTTGCCCTGGCCGTAGCCTGTGTTACTGTTGTTATTGTTGGTGTTGGGTCGAGCTGAGCGCAGAGCAGACGGGTCTAGCTGCTCCCGCTCTCTGCTCAGGAGGGGCTCGTGTTCGTCTGGACTGGCAGTGATGACCCCCAGGCTGAGGCGGCTGTCGTCAGAGCGCAGGACGCTGGAGCCGGTGCTGATGGTTGAGATGGAGCTTGTGTGTCCGTTCACAGCTCCGTTCACGTGCATGTCTCTCAGGACCGGCAGATTGTTGGTGCTGTTGAGCCTGTGGGTCTCTGCGGCGCTGTTCACTGGTGCAACACCAGTGTTCACCTTGTTCCCGTCCACCTGCCGCAGGTTGGACTTACCAGAGCGGCCAAACTTAAACCTCAGAGAGGAGGAGGACGACTCCTTCTTGGCAGGCTTGTTGCGCAGGGGCAGACTGGATGGCCTCTTGGGCAGGTTCTGCTGCTTCGGTAAGGGGAAGATAGTGCTTGGAATAGGGGCAGGGGGCTCAGAGGGGCCGGACGCCTCACTGGCCATCTTAATGAGAGGATAGAGAAGACTGGAGCTGCCGGGGCTCAGGGGGTCTGGAGAACAGAACTGTTTCTGAGAGTGTTCCATCAAATTCTCATCTGAGCTCTCCTTGAGGTTCTTATCCACCTCTTTGGGGTCAAGCTTGGTGGTCTCCAGGTCCTCCTGGGTCAAGTGCAGACACACAGGGACAGTGGCAGTGGCTGTAGGCCCCTCAGACTCCGAGATGGTGGTGGTAGTGGTGGTTGAGGGGCTTCCTCTCATACCAGGCCCACTAGTGCTGCTGCCCTCTGGGCTGGGCAGGCGAGCATTAGCCTGCTGCTGCCGCTCCTGGTTTATGGAGTTCCGGTTTCTCTCACCGGTCCCAGTCACAGCTCTGCCATTAACAACATTAGTGCCGTCAGCCTGCGTGTTTTTGGGCACCCCATCATGCTCCTCGATGTAAGTCGAGGGGTGATCTGTGTACTGTCCGGACTTTGGAGTCATGCGGTTCCTGAAAGACACAGAAGTGGTGAATAAACCTGTTATATAGAGTTGTATTTGTTATTTGCTGGTGCTTCTACCTCTCATTGTGCAGAGTTGTGGGGTTCAGGGTGGGACTGACTGATTTGGAGCGGTCCCAGATGAGGAGCAGCTCAGCCAGTCGCTCCTCTGCACACTGCGCAGTGAGCCGCGCCTCTGCGTCCTGATCCCAACAATCCTCCATCGTCTCCTTCAGAGAGCGCACAGCCTGAAAGAGCAACACTTTTAATCCCACTGAAAACGACGGGTAAAATCGACGGGTTGGACACAGTTTGTTTAAGCGAGTGTACAGCGTCAGTACAGTTGTGGTTCATAATTAGCTTATGCTTCTATTGCTTTTATAATCTGTATCTTTATCTTCCACAGAAACCCACCAGACTGTTCTCTTTCCAGGCCTCAGGGAACTTGGGCCTCTGCTTCTCCCTGGACACAAGGACCTGCATGTCTTCAAATGTCGGGTGGTTCCCGGCCTCGGCTTGAAAGGCCACCTGGTATTCTGGCGTAGATTCTCCTAACCACAAGCAAGAGAACAAGTATTTAGAATCGCTCTACTTCGGCGGAGTGATTTTCTTTCATGATTATCTTTGGTTTTGAACAATTTTCAAATTCCTTTGTGTTTCCTCACCGGGGAAAAGATCAGTACATCTCATGAAAGTTTCCCAGTAGACCAGTCCCAGAGCGTACATATCTACTTGCTTGAGCGCCGACTCGCAATCTCTCAAATTCACAGCTCCTTCTAGAACTTCTGGGGCCATGTAGCGGATCGTACCCACCTACAAATCACAAAAGGAAGAGCATTAGAATACTGTAAAAAGTAAACATGACAACAACAAATCATTCCAATATAGTCACATACTTCACTGATAGCAGCATTCTCCTCTTCTCCGTGGCGTGGAGGCCTGTTTCCTGTCAACTTCATAGACAAGCCAAAATCGATGATGACACATGTGCCGTCTGCTTTGACAAGAATATTTCTGCTGTTCAGGTCCCTGTGAGAGACTGCCGGCTTGTACAAGTCTGGAAAATACAGATAAATGATTAAGAATTAACTAGGCTAATTCATCCCTTATTACTTATTTAAAACCTTCCATCACTGACCAATTATTCCGGGGATATGATTTATACAATGTACAAGACTCATCTGCTAATGAAAACAAATCCTTCATTACTTTTTGTTCAGTAAACCAAGTTGCAATGTCAACAGACAGCTAAAGCCTCTAATCTAATCATCAACAATGGGATTAAGATGTGGTCGCCTGCGCTTGCATTCTAAAACTGTCCAGCAGAGGGTGCATTGAACCGTCACTTTGACAGTCGGGGCGCCAGCGAGTGAGTACTACTAATGTGTGGGAGCAGAAGCGGGGAGGATGACAAATATGTGGAGGAGAAATGCTGGAGACTGTGGCGTAGGTTCTACAACACCGACTCTTTCCGAGCTTTTGTTCTGCTCTCTCTCTGTGTGTGTCCTCTGCTCTGGTGATCACTGTAGCTCGCCATTCTTTCCCCTCTGTGAGCTTTGCTTTTGTCACACGCTTGGACAAACAGAATAACTACCGGTCTCCACTTTCCCAGTCTCTCCAAGTGCACTTTGTCTATTTAATGTTTGGCTGTGAAAAAATAAAAAACACAGAAAGGCAAAAATGCATGGCTAATGATTATAAAAAAGGAGAAAAAAAGCAAATGTCAGTTCAAGCCCATAAAGAAGATTGAGCCAGGGGATATTCTCTTGTCATCTGAATCCTTATCGCTCCAAAGCTTCATCCTCTCTCCATTTTTCTCTCCCTCTCTGAGGCCACTGGCTTGGGGCTAGACTATAAATACTCTTGTGGTGCATGCAGTGATTTTACATGTGCAGAAAATGCAGGGATGCAAAGGAGCTCGGAGCCAAACAAAACGCATGTGGAGCTGCGCTGTCAGAGCCTTACAGCGGCGTTAGTCTGAGTGTCCTGACCTCTGACTACAACCCACCGCACATTCTGACTCTACAGCTTGAACTTGGCCTGTAAGGAAATATTATTTTGATAACTGGTTAGTTTTCCCAATTATTCTTTTGCTTAAATCAATATAAAAGGTCAGTGAATATTGGAGATATTTGACCAAAACAAAGCTCATGTGATGCCCCTGGAGAACATATATAATTGATTAGTTGCGATTAAGCAACTTGTTACAGCCCTAGTTTGAACAAGTTATGCAAAGAAAGACCACATCAATAAAAACACCACTAATTGAATAAAAGATGGAAGCTACAGTTGGAACAAACCAGAATATTTTCTCAGACAAGATGCTGAAATGAGTATTGGCGTCTGTATGTTTTTAGTCAGAACTGCTTCCACTTGGTCACGCTGCTGTTGGACTTGCAGTGTTAAATCTTCCCCTCACGCACCTCCTTTGAAGAGCTCCGTGTGGAGAAAAGCCAGGCCTCGGGTGACTGAGTGAGCCAGGCGACAACTGCTGACCCAATCGTTGGTCTGGCCGCTCAGGTAGTGACTCAAGGAACCCTGGGAGAGAGAGAGAGAGAGAGAGAAGAAACAGGGTAAATGAAAATCAGACATAGCTTTACATGAGTGACAGCTGAGGAGAGAGGAGCGAGAGAGCTGAATCCAGGAGTGTCACTTCAAACACAAGTCAACAAACACAGAATGACGCCAGCTCAGCCCTGAACGCAAGCATCTTCCTTCAAGCCCAACGAGTGGAGAGAGTGTGCGTGCGTATCCTCCTGGGGATCTGCGGCTCATGGAAAATATGTAATTGTGCTTTTCTAATAAGAATTATGATCGCTGTTGGTTCAGAGAAATGGCATTTGAGCAAAGACTGAGAAAAATAACTTCCTAATGTTATTGAGGATAAGATGACATTCTAAAGATTTCAATTGTTGAGCGTTTCCTGGAACTAGCTGTCCCTTGTCTAGAGTGGAAGTGCCCCTCCTAAACGCACATAGTTGACGACTCCAGTTTAATGAAACGCGTTGAAGAGAGATCAATGTAAAAGGTTATGCTGGCCATTTTTCAATCTTTTTTTCCTCCAATGTATTGTAAGTCTTAACAACTGTCAGAGGAAATGGCAGAGCTAGAGCGAGATAAAGTTTTAAAATGGTAGACCATACAAATGCATTACTTATCTCTTCAAATAGAAAGTTACAATGAGTTTAACCTTATATTAGATTTAAAGTGTTCCCATTACGCAGGCTTTATGCATTTCTTTCACCACAAAAGGACTGCCAGTAGAAAATATGAATGTTCCATCTTATACAATTACGTTTTTCCTAATACAATTGTCTTTTTACATAAATGTCACCGCAAGTTACACTTTCTGCGAGTGGCACCGTATGGAAGGTCAATCAACGGCATGAAATCATTTACAAGAAATGACCAGTAATGGATCATCGGCACATTTCTCCCTAATTATCTCTAACAGCATTGCTAATCAATCTCCGCACTGGCACGAACTAAAAATCCACTCCAGGAATCAATCACCGGGTGATTCCAGCATCCGCCGCTAAACAAGATTAAAGTGCGTCTGTTCGTCTTTAAATAAATGATATCAACGTTAGCTTGAGCGTGGCATGTCCGCGCCACAGCTGTCCTCACTTGCACGGAGATGCTTGGAGAACACATGCGTTACGTTGATGGTCTCATGACGAGCGCTTCGTTTCTATTGCTTTGGCCTGTGGCTTTCTCATCAAACAATAGAGGTGGTGGAACATTGATTCTGATCAGTATCGCGATTTTTTGCACACGGCATTAAATTGATACAGTAAAAGCAATTTTCAAATTTGAATAATATGAAGGACATGAATTGCAATATATCGCAGAATAGAAACTGCAATGATATTGAATGGTGGCCCAAATGTATTTATTCATTAATTTTTTTAGACTGGACATAGCTACAAGATAATTTTTATCTGTAGTCCCTGGGAAGAGGCAAAGGGACAGCAGGTTTACAGTTTTCAAATAAATAATAAATAGAATGGCCTAATAAGCATTTAAAATACAGATAAAATACAACTTCTTTAACCAGAAAGGGGCACAATATATACCATACATAATATATACAACACGCAACAATCTGATTAATGACTGCAGACTTCATTATTGTTGAGCCAATATCGCAATACTATCAAAACGCCACATTGTTTTTTGCCAATTCTCAATCCTACGTTTTCTCGAACATTCTGGAATTATAACTGGAATTCCACAGTGTGAAAAAGCTTTTTCAAAAGACGCATCATAAAACTCACAAGTGGGTAGTAGTCCATGACGAGCAGGTACTCCGTCCGCCCCTCTGGTCCCGTGCGCTCGTCCCCCGCCACAAAGTGTGCGATGTTGTCGTGCTCCAGCAGAGGGAGCCGGTAGATGGAGCACTCGTTCAGGAAGTTTTGCCGGTTGGCCGCAGTGAAGACTTTAACCGCGACCGGCCGCTCGTCCAGGGAACCGCAGTACACCGTGCCGTATCGACCACGCCCAATCAGCTGCAATGAAAACGCACAGGGGAATGACATTTCCGGGGGGAGAAGGCCTCGGAGCACAACCAGTACTGCGAATGCGCACGTGAACAAGCTTTTCAATTACTCATAGATAAAATGATCCAGGACACTGTGTGCCCCTAAGGTCAAAACAATCTTGTAAAAATGCTGTTAATGTTGCTTCCTGAATAGTGACATGCATGCCTACAGAGCACCTTCATTACTCTGTATGACGCCAGGTTGCCCATAGTTTCCATTGTTTTGTCTGTAGAAAGAACTGCCCCTACTTTTGTGCGGGATCTGCATGTATTCGATAAGGTGCAAGGACAAGCTCTGAATTGAACTACTGCCTGAAAAGATTCTGCTGCTCTCAAATGAGCTGAGGGCCAAAGCAAGTCTCACGGATCCACCCTTGCAGACGTAAAAGCTGTATTCAATCAACATTCAATACACTATTTTGAAAGTGCTGTAAACTCAAGTAGACAGTATTTGTGGCTGCGATGGTAGATTTGATCTGACGCATTGAAACGTCCTTGTAAATGCCTCGATAATAAACAAAAGTCAGATAAGTTTATGACAGATACAGTTGAAGCTATCAAGTACTGTCGATTTGCTTAGACATGGAGACAGTCGTAGATCCGATTATTAACTTGAGCACACCCACATTTGTATTGACTTTTCAGCTTTTATTTCACTGTCAGCTAATTCCTATTTTTGCATCAAAGACATGTCACCGAATCCGAGCCGTTGTGATCAGGTGATAAAAGTCACATTGAGACAACAAATGTAACCGTACACCTTGATGTATTTTGGGCAAGTGTTTTTTCAGCAACGCCTTTGCGCTCTCCTCTCCCGTCTGCCTCCGGTCTCCTTCCTAGAGGCTTACACACTCGCCGCACGTAAAGCTGCAGCAGCCTGTTTGAGAACACTGCATGTCTGAATCAATGCTACATGTATTTATCCTCTTCAACAGTTCCGACTAAGCTGGCAGGATTGTGGGGTGTAGAGGACAATTCTGTTGAAGGGGATTTTCTCTTTTAACTCCTTAATGCTGATGTCATGCACCCTCTTAAGAATTAGTCTTTCAGCTTCAGTTTTCATGATACAAGACAATCTTGACGAGATTTTTGCAAAGATTCTGGTGAATATTTGAGTTGTCACAAGATAGTTGATGTTAACTGTGGGCCTGGCTCCCTGCAGACACATGCTTTGGAAACATGGTTTGGACCACTCTGTACTCAGCCAGAGTATAGAGTTTACTCAGTACTCTGGCTGCAGCTTTGACTCTGGTCTGGGCCACAAGCTAATTCAATTGAACAACAGATGCATCTGCACCACACACTATAAATACTGCGGACTGGTCTGAGAGGTTAAGCCATAACTGACCTCCAGCAGTTTGAGATTGTCCAGGTCCAAGGAGCTTTCCGATCCAGCAGCTTCCATCATGTTCAGATTGTGCAGGCCTTGTTTGCCGTTTCCTGCTCTCACACAAAGAAAAAAAGTATCAGACAGTTAATCCACACAGCTAAAAATGAAACTGATTTATGAAACACCAAATTACCAAAAATATGACCAGAATATAAATGAAACTCACCATGCATCATACGGTAGCCAAAGTAAGCTGCCAGAGCAACCACCAGCATCACAGTAACTGTTGCCAGGGCGATAATTATCATCTCTTCATAGCGTAGGGCGGGAGTGGCTACAATGGGACACAAAAAACACAAGTTCAAATCAAACTTGGACATTTTGACTGGGTACCACACACACACACACACAGACCAACTGCACGTAAGGACTGAATATTGTGTTGGTTCATTGATTAAAACCTCTTGTACAGTCAACAGGCGTAATAAAGAGCAAAGACTCCAGTAATGAGTCTAGAGTGAGAGGCACTGTGGCTCCAAAAACCCATCAAACACCAGTGTTTGTTTGACTGAAATATCAATTCTCTTCTGAATCAACATCCAACCTCTCCCCTTCTGGGCTGTAAAAGAAACAGAGTAATTGCTTGAACTGCGCTGCTTTCACACAACCTCTTTATCAGTCAACAATATTCCTGAGCGTATGGAAAAGCAGGAAAAGGATGCAGGGACCAAATGCTTATAGATAAAAATATAGCCAACAAAACAGACTGGAATGTAGAGTAGGAGAGAATATATGAAAACACCACAATGTGAATAGATGACGGGTAGAAAAGGTTTGCTGAAGCTGCTTCAGCTGTCAGCTTTTTGTGATTAATGAAACAAGAACCACTCTGCAGACTCCAACACTATCCTTGGCCCTCCTGGTCCAAACGTCTGCACGAGACACAAACACACTGGTACAGTCAACACACTGGAGCTGCTGCCTGAGAGACACCGGCTCCATCCATTATTGATGGCTTAAGCCTAAGGGTAGCTCTGACTGACGTGCAAACGTGTGCACAGATGAGCGCGTACAGGGGGCATGCATATACCACTGTGTCCGTCCCCCCCCAAATGTCAAGGTCAATGAGTAAAGAGGGGCGTACAGGAAGTCCCAGACTAACAACACACCCAAACACACCATAAGCCAGCCACCTTTACAGCTAACAACAGTGTATTTGTGACACACTCAGACACTCACATTACATACACTGCTGTCACCACTTGGCACGGGATCAGTCAAAAGACACAAACTATTTCCGCCACCCATTAACTCATGGTAATGCGTTCAGACCTGTCAGGAAGCACTCGAAACAAAACACGGCTAACTTTTGAGGAAGTAGACACTTACGTTTCTACCTTGTGAGCATCGCGTCATGGCTGTTCTGCTACCCTGATGTGCGCAAGAAACAAGCAATTACGATCACGCCCGCAGACAGGTCATGGAGAGCGGACGCCTTATAATCCATGGAATGCAGAGCAACGGCATAGACTAACGTGTGTCTGTGTGTGTGGGCAGGAGGGGTGGCACCTTTCCCCTCCTTCACACACACAATTATTTCACAGCTAAGCCTTGTGAGCAAAGAACAATTAACAATACGTCTGTTTTCTCTATTCAACAATACCCCACACAAGATACAGAGTGTACCTTGCGCATAATGAGCTCGATTCACATCAAACAACCACCGTTTGCCTCTTAGCTCAAGTGAAGATGCTGAAAATTGCCAGCTTATCTCTGCAAGTGCACATACCGGCTCCTCTCAGCGATATACACAGATGTCAGGGTTCATTACGAGCACAAATCAACAAGCATTTGAATTCACTTTGCAGAGGAAGAGAAAAGATTAAGATTAAGATGAACAGATCCTTCATTTGTCCCACAGAGGGGATATTTCAGTGTTGCATCACAAGTTAGACAGTAGGAATGAGGAGCACACGGCACATAACTGAAAAATCAGTCTATACTAAAATAAATTAAAATCTAACGCAAATCGCAAAGCTGCTAAGTAGGTGTGTGTCAGATATTATCACGCATCCTTTCATTACTTTCTTATACAAACTCCATTACGCCATTGTCTTGTCTACGCCCTCCCAGAACGACAGCAGAGAGGAAATGTGCGTTTACTTGTTTCTTCCCCCTCACGAAACGGGCTCAAAAGAACATTGGGCGGAACCACGTCTCTGCGCTGGTGCAATAGTTTATGCTAAATCTTCATGTGTGCTGTTTTAAAGTGAAGCGCTTTAGTGGAAGGCTCTTGCAGAAGCAGATCAGGTGGGGGCTGGAGCAGGTGGTCCGCGCACACAGCTCTAATCACGTTCTATAAATGAGAACATGATCTCAAATCAAATGTCTATTTGTGAACACCGAAGACAGCTCCAATGTCTTTCTCTTCAGTAAAATGCCAGGAGGAAGACACATGCATTTGCCGGATAGTATGTGTGCATTATTCTAAATATATGCACTGTGTTCTATTGTTCACAAGATTGAAAACAAAAAAAACCCACAGATGGCGGTTTATTTTTAATACTTGAGTTTCTGTACTGTTAAATCCTTAGAACTTCTTCAGAAACCCTGTTGAAACGTACGACCAGCCATTCACCAAGCACAAAATGTAGTGAATGAATAAAAGCATTGAAGTAGCAGTCTAGTCGTTCCGGAAAGTGCGGGTCCTTACTGATGGGTTGTGCGGTGGTGGGGCTGGGCGGAGGGAAGTCCTCGGTGAAGTTGACGTTACACATGTCACTGCCACAGCAGCAGAAGTGGTAGGTGCCATTTTGGATCTGAGGAGGGAGGTTTGTCACAACACAGCGGTCTTCACGGCACTCCTGATGGTCGCCCAGATAAGGCCAGCAACCTGAACAAACAACAACCATTTTTAACAAGATTACACACTGTATAGAAGCAGAGGAAATCTCCACTTACAAGTATAACAATATCATCACGAGACTCAATAATCAATGTAACATGGTAAGATGTTAAGGGAAAGAGGGAATTACAAACTTACAGAATGCAAATTGTTTGAAATTAATGAGAAGGTTTTTGTCAGATTGGGGGGTCCGTAATTTCCCGTAATCAGACTAACACAACTGGATAATGCAATTTAATGTCAGACTATTGCTGTATGTACACAGTTTAATCAGATTAGGGCAGGCTAAGCACTGCGAGCATGCACCAGAGCCAGACTGTGGCATGCAGGTCAAACACAATTAAAGATAAAACACATCCAAAGCAGAAGTCTAGCCATCAACTAACTAGAAGCAAACCTTAGTTAGACATTGTAAACCACGAGTAGTTTGAATGTTGTAAACACTCAACAACCTTTATGGACATTAGTCATCTGCCCCGTATGGACCAATGGCTCTGTGTTTCTATCATTGCATTTCTTGTGTTTGAACGGTCTGATTCTCTGAACTGTTGTGGCATTTGGCAACTTCAGCGATTTTGTTGAGTCCTCCGAGATAACTACTGCAGTGATTTAGGGATACAAGAATAAATGTAATTGAATCGAGTAGATTATTTTTGTTTAAATGTGCACTTTATTGTCCCGTAGGAAAATTCATCCTCTGCATTTGACCCATCCGGATGCCAAAGGCTTACGTCAGGAGCAGTGGTCGCAGTACTATACAGCCCAGGAACCCATCTCCAGCTCAGCTTGGTCAGGACCAGAGCTGGAGGATTTTAGAGTGCATGTTTTGAGTAGTATGGGAAACCGCAGCACCGGGAGGAAATCTATGCAGACACAGGGAGAACATGCAAACTCCACTCAGAAAGACCCTGTTCCGACTGGGATTCGAACCCAGGACTTTCTTGCTGAGAGGCGAGAGTACAATCCACTCAGCCTCCGTGCCGCCCTAAATAATGAATAGCCATGAACAGCACAAGAAGCCTTAAATTGCTTTAAAAGTCAACTATCACATGGCTCTACTTAACCACGACCAATAATCATTCGCGTGAACCTAATGGCAAGTTTTCCCACAATCATCAAGTCGTGATGAGGATACAGGGCCGTGTTGTGCTCGTGTTTGTACCTTGCTTGACTGGCCTCACTTCTCCTGGGAGGCTTTTCTCCCACAGGCCGAAGCAGTGGCTGCCCTTAGCGCAGCGGATAGTGGTGTTCTCTGGAGAGACTCTGCCCTCGCCCACCGCCACGCGATCCACGTCCCACTGATGCTGCTGGTCCGTGAAGGCACACTCCCGCTCCTCACCTTGGGCCGCTGTCACAAACACATAATAATTACAGCTGCAGAAAGGGTCTATGGACATTGTGTCAACACTTTACAAGTGCCAAAAAAATGATCTCAACACAATCCTACATATGTCTTGATTTTTTATCGATTTAGAACAAAAAACTTTTTTTTCTTAAAACCTTTTTTGAGTGGATACAGTACAAGATTTGTTTCATATATGAACATATTGCAAAACATGGTCTGTTATACCTAAAATGTGTGCTTCAGTTCAACATCCTTTCAATTTGAAAGCTCGCATGAACATAGACAGTTCTTGTCAAAAGCTGGAAGATAAAAGCCCTCAAGGTCGAGAGTTTCCGAATCTTTAGCTCAGCAGAAAACACCTGCCTGCAGGAGAGGACATAAACACACACCGATATGGCCTTTAAAGCAGCAACTACTGATTAAAACATAAATATTCCACACAAGAAAATGAAATTCCATTTCTAAGTTATTTATTACAAAGCCTGTGGGCAGAGCTGAATTCTGAAGATGACAAAAACCGAGGAGTATTTGGATGTCACATAAATACAGAGGCCGCGGGGGAGCCTAGTTCTCTTACGAAATGCAGAAGTGGCAAAATGGACAGCATTGTTGATTCGCAGTAAAGATGGAGCCAAAATAACACTCTAAATGCAGGCCATTTGTGTACACACGATGAATAAGGTAAAACAAGATGGGAAATGTTTTGTTTTGGTTTTTCCTCCAGCTCCCCAGTTTCCTCTGGTGAATTAGAAAATAAACTCAAAACTGGGGATTGCTTACTGTAGCCTGTGCAATGTCGAGCTAACCGGAGTGGGTAGCAGGTAACCGTGCAGTAGCAGAGGTAGAGCTAGCTATGGCCCTGGGATCAGACTCTGTTTGCACCTCCTCAACCCCCACCACCACCACACAGATAAAGCAATCGTAGGTAACTCTGGACATAACCTCCGGGTCCTTTGCCGCTTATTTTTTGGTTGGGACTGACTTTGCCTGCAGAGAAGCAATGCCTTCCACAGCAGTACAAATGAAAGGGGTTAAGTGCATTGCGGATCGCAGAGCATCCATGCATTCCAATGAGGCGGCGGCTGTGGCAGATGCTGTAGTTTGGGGTTAGCGGTTCAACTCCTGCAGACTTTCATGTTCCTTGCACTTAACAAGGCGTAAACAAGCACTGGGTTCAAATGGTCACCCGGTTATGTGCACGCAGCAAGAAATAAGTATGCATCAGAGCTACTCAGATGAGCACTAAGAAAACCACCAGAACCAATTTTTATTTTAGCTTTGGCTAAAATATTTTAGAAAAATGGCTTGTAAATTAGTATCATCTGCACGGTATTGTATATGTGACTTGAGTGTACTTTAGTTATAAAATGATTTTTTATACTATTGTGGGAATATATAATTTTATCTGGTAACTCCACTGTAGCAGACAGATTTTAATGAAAGTCTCTAGAAAGGTCACTAATGGTTTGACATAAATGGTCCTTGAGGGCTTCCAATCCTGTAGATGGATTATGTTCAGGTAAAAAAAAGGATTCAGCTTCAGTTTAATATTTGCTGAAGGTTTTCCAATTATAATAATCTACACAAGGGCTGTGAACGTTTTTGTACAGGTTTAATTGCCGATAGCAATATCAGTAAGAAAAGAGTCTAAATTAAAGTTTAATTGGACTTATCAGTTTAACAATTATCTTTGAATCATCAAACCCCTGGCTTCTCTACTCTCAGTGACTTTTTATAATTTTCATTCTTACTATTGCGAACAAGGTCGAAGAGCTGAACGCTTTTCTGAAGAAGTTAATTGCTGATTATTTTAATGAAAAAGGCTTGAAATAACAAAAAAACAAGTACAGACTCAATGGCCCAGACACAAACATTGTATGTGATTAATGTTATGGGAGAGGCGAAAAAGCCAGGAGCAGCGTTGGAGACGAGAAACTCTTTAAGGGAAGAGAAGGGAAAAAATTGGACAATGGCGGGAAGTGAAAATCTAGTGACAACACCCCGAGACCCGAGACATTCAGACTAAACTGACCTTCCACGTTGCAGTTTGTCAAGCACCAATCTATACAAGACTTTCTGCTATCTCTTACACAAGACATTAAATATTAATTTCTCTGCTGCTATCCAAGCCTGAGAAATCAAAAACTTCACAACAATGCCTGTTCTGAATTTCATCTCACGGCACACTATCTTCATTCACAATAGTAAAATCGATTTCTGGGCTGAAATGGTAATCTCTGCGCCTTCTTTTTCAGACTACATTATGACATTACCCAGGGTCCCGCGTAGACTATTAAATGCGAGGTATCACGTATCAGGATAATGCGAGGGGTATAGTCAGAACTCCTATCCTCCAGTTTGTCTCAGTATCATTCACCAGGGCGTGCCATGCTGCCAGGAAATGCACCCCCCCATCCCTTACGATCTCCTCATTCGTCCGCTCGTTGATGCGTTTTTTTATAATTTCATTTCTGGTGTTTGAACTGTTAGATTATCTGATCAGCGTTGGCGAATCAACAATTTTGCAAAGTCAGCCGAGATAATACAGCTATACATCTATATTAGGAGATTTTAGATTTGCTTCTTCATTATGATACATCTAAATATTGGGACCTTTATTGGGAGAAATAAAGGATCTTTTGATAACTACTGTTGTGATTTAGGGCTATACAAAAATAAATACTTCGGCTCTACACAACCTCGGCCCATGTGATTGCTGTCGGACTTTAAGGACATTGTGACACATTAGCTGCAGCCACATTTAAATAGTCTCATTGTGCGCTGTCGAGTTAACTCATTTCCTTCTGCATCCAAACTGATAAAAGAGGTTAATAGTTAAGAACCCTTGGGAGCCATTTGGTTTAGGCCATTTGGAATAGTTTGCGTCGAGTCTGCCTACAAACTAAGGCTGGCTCACGCTCTTTCTAGTCTTGGCTTCTGGTTGGCTGCCAATTTTTTTTCCGTTTGATCTGCGATTGGTTGGGGCGGCTTTTTCTTGTCCGTCGTTCTGCTCTGCGGAGTATGCTACATGGGATCTCGCCTGCAGTATCGGATTGTGGGTCAGGGGCAGAGAGGCGGGCAAGGCCATTGGAGCGAAGGAATTGAGAAGAGAAGAGACAGAGGAGGCTATAGACATATCAAAAGCTTTTTAGGAGTACTTTACTTGTCGTTGATTGGGTGATGCCAGGCGCTGCACTGTGTTTATCCATGGCCCAGTTATTTGGTAATCTCTGCTCCCCTCCCTTCCCCCTATTGGCCTTCACTGAACCCCCCCCTCTGTCTACCCCAGTGCCTCCCTTGGCTAAAAAACAACAGCGATCTAATCTGCGCTCTTCGCTCTTTCTCCCTTCCTCATTTGCCAAGGCCCGTAGAAGAGAGGCAGCATAAGGCGCACTCCTGATTAAAAGTCATCCCGTTTACATTCCTGATTTGAGACACAAACAGGACGGGAGAACTTGCTGTTTATTGAGAACACGAAAACCATAATTATGAAAGATGATCGATACAGGCCAAGGGTGACGTCTCAATAAATTATTTAAACAAATGCATGCTATGAGGTTTATAGAGAGATTTAAGGGATTACAAATGGGTAAATATGGAAGAAATTAACCTTTTTATTGCGCTCATTAAACGCAGTGGTAAAATGCTCAATGGTTTTATCAAAAATGCTAAATAAGGATTGGCTGTAGACATCTTACAGACCTAAGGCAGTCACTAAGGAATAGAAATCCAATAAATAACACCGAGTACATCAGTGTTCAGTTCATCTCGCAATAGATTTAATAAAATCTTGACACTCAACACTATGTGATATCCACACTATTTGATCATCGACCTATGAGTGACATTTCAGATTCAGATTCATTTATTTGCCATTTGCAGTAAAACCATATTGGAAAAACTGTGCAAGACTACCCCGGTGTGCACCAGACAGAGAAGACGACACACACCAGAGCTCTTGCCACGGCGCCATCTTTACGGCGCTATGCGACAAACAGTAGAATAAACAGCAGAGAGCAATAACACACAGTTTCATAGACAGTTGGATAGACACATTTGCAGAAAATGACATCAAAATCCACTCATGACTTTCTCAGTTCAGCGAGCAGGCCATCCATGCTCCAACCAAAAGTTTAACCCCTTGCACTTGAATGTCTTGTATTTAAAAAGGGGCAAATGACTGATGCTTCCATGCTCTTTGTATGTCGGTGAAGTGTGCTTTGCTCTAATCATACATGTTTAGGTCAACACGTGTTGCTGAGGGATTCGGCCTGATCTGCTGACAACCCCAATTTTGCTAGTCCCTATGCTAGAGTTTAAAGATGTCAGACAGGGCGAGTGGGCTTTAATCGGTCCCATCTGTTGCCCCGGACAGCAACTCAACCACAGTCACCCCTCCCACCTTCCTTCCCCCTGCCCAAAAACACCACCACCACCACGGTACGGCAGTCTGTGTCTGTCTGGGTCTGGTACAGTTATGTTAATCCTGCGATTTAGACAGCCCCCTCCAGCTTAGAGGCCACCATTATTGACCACCATGCATGTATGCTCAAATCCACCCCTCGCCCCTGAATATACTTTAACTTTCTCAAATGTGCAATGAAAACACAGATGACAGGGAGGGTAGGGGTCAGGCATAATCTCAGATTATTTATGTACAAGCAAAAGTTGGGTGTTAGACAACCCAAAAGCTTGTTAGAACAACATTATTCTTGTTTAATGAACTTCTGCTGCAAGCGCATATTGTTATTACTTTTGGAGCAGTTATGCTACTACTCAAGAAATCCACAAATTGACAAATAATTTTGACTGCAATTACTGCAAGGAGAAAAATGTAATCACCTTCACAGTGATAAAGCTGTTGGAAGCACTGCGTCAAAATGAAAAGCAGTACTAGATGCATCAAGGTTTTATAACTACAGATTTCAAAACACTAAAATGTTAAAAAGTGTTTTAATTATACAAACAATGGTACAGGGTACAATTTATGAACATTTAAAATTCCTCAAGGACAGTAAAGAAAAATGTCAAAACCTGCAATTACTAATTTAGCAGCAGCAGAAAAAATAAAAAAAATTTGCTCTGAAAATTATGGTAATTAAAAGTGGCTCCAAAACTAAATTGTTCAATGACTGAGCGGTTTGGCCTGATTGTTTTCTCTGGGCAAGGAGAACGCTGGGTGCTAATCATAGCCTGTCACTCTGAGTTACCATCTCAACGATGCACCTTTTGTTTTCCTAAACATTCACTAATTTCAGCTTTTTGTCAAATCAGAACAGTGGCCTGGACACAGCGCTATTGTGCGCCTGCTCTCTACTTCTGCTAGAACTCTGATGCAGGGAGACGGGCATTGATTTTTTTCATTTCATGAGAGGGGAAGTATTACAGACCCTGCACACCTCTGTCTGTCCTGGCTTTCATTGGTCCTTTTCCAGCTGCAGTCAGTGTTCTCCTCTGCCGTCTGGCAACATAATAGTGCACCCTAAGTGCAAAAATATGATAATCAGTGAGCTTTTCGTCACTTTAGAGATGGTGGAATCCTCATAAAAGTGCATTCCTCGCAGATTGGTGAGATTAATACGCATCATCACATTACCTCTTTGTGCAGAGGGGTTTTGGAAATAAAGCCAGGGTGGAGACATTTACTACTACGCTGCTCTATTTATAGTAAAGGAGTACATCTGAAAAGCACATTCAGCAGTGTTTGATGAAGTCCATAGGTGATAGTTTGGGGCCATATGGTGCGTTGAGATTCTTGTAATAGCCTTTTATTACAACTTCTACAATGAGTCTTTAATCTTAGTTTCATCATGCATTTTTTTGTTTTAAAAGTCAAACATCTGATGCTATTTCTCGCCAAACCAACATCTCTAGACATGCTTGTCAATGTAAAACTCAAACTGCCATAGATAACACTGCAGCTGCCAAGGCGAGCTGAACCAGGCCGTGCTACACAAGGCCTCAGCGCCCATTCAGTGTCGCTGAGTAATCTGCAGCCAATAAAATCACTTTGGGTCCGAGGCGTGTATGTGACCGGAGAGGCGACAGCTTCAGGAGTCCCCAGCGCACAGGGGAGAACAGGAGGGAGAGCGCGGGTAAACAGAGAGGCTTGTCAGCACGGTGCTATGGAACCCATGAGACAAAGATTTAGGAGGTGGGACAAGCGGACACTATTTGGACGCCTTTTATGCTGGGCAACAACACTGCTTCTAATAGCCCCTCAGACATTTGCCTTTGACCATAGACTGTAAATGACCAAAGTGAAAAATGATGTTGAGTTTTTGAATGGCAGTCCAGGCACACGGTAAAATTTAATATAGCCCTGCTCTACCATAAAATGTAGTGCTTTCATCAATAACTAAATCAATATTAGACAACTTGGTATGGGATTGTATGAAAGAATCTATACTCTGGGGCTAATTGATCCTAAAACTGCTTTAATTGTAGCAGTAGCAGTAGTGCCACATTAAATATTGATACAAATACTTCCTTGATAATTATAATATTGACTTATAGTCAATTATAGCTGGAATCATAGCAAGGGGAATTGCTATGATTCTATTGCTAATATAAGATCTTTTAAAATAAGGTTTCTGAGATAAAATAGTAGCATTGTGGCTAGAATAAATCATTTTTAATATTATCCCATATTGCAATGTGTCCATTTCGTGCCTGAAAATGTGTGCCCTACAATACTAGCGTTTCATATACTATCATAAGTCTATCTTATCTTATATTGTCATGAACATAAAGGGCAACAATAAAAAACATCACTCTTCCTGAATCAGGGCATTATCAGTGCTCCCAGAAATCTGCCAAAAGCGCTGCTTATAACACATCTGCACCATAGCAACGGGCTTTCATTAGGTTTTAACACCAATTAACATTTAGTATAAAAGCATTCGGGCATGTTCTGACATGTGATTGATGAAACTGATTTAAACCCCTTCTTGAAACTAGCTTCAAGCTTCAATACGTGATGTTATGCAGACTAAAAATAAACACAAACTTTGCAGCTTGACATTTACATATTTCAATACAAGGTAAAATCATACACACACACTTAAATTCCATAACCCTAACTGGCCAAAGGCAGCGTCACCAAGACCTATTTGTGGTTTTTGGGAGGGCCTTCTCTCCAGATTTGTGAACAGCAGACGGACACCCACATGCGATTAGTCACAGGGGACACTGGCCGGAAGGACGAAGCAGGTGGAGCTCCTGAAGGGTTAAAACGAACAGTGCTTTCAGGAAAGGGAAGCAACAATGATTTGATTTTTTGTTTTACAATACAGCACATATAGGAGAAGAATAGGAGGAGGGCCAGGAGAGACGACTGACAGTGTGACAAAATTATTCACCAGTAGAATAATTAGCAAGAATGAGAATGAGAGCTGAGCCGTTTCTTTGGGAGGGGGAATGGCTATTTATTTCAGTAATATGTCCTATGTGCATTTTATTTTCAGATTTGAACTGTCGAAAGCAGACCTGAGCAAAGAGCGGCCCGGGGGCTACATCCGGCCCGATTCACATTTCTATGCGGCCCCCTGAACCTTCCCAGCTGTGAACCTCATACAAGTCTGTTGCTTATTTAAATGAATCAGGAGTCAATGAAGGCTTAAAACCTACTATGTGCTACCATGACATGTCACACATTCATTCATGTTTTTAAAAATCTATTTATCAGTATATATCTTTTACATTTAAATACTGAGCATTTTTGTAGGGCAATGAGTCAGGCCCTTCACCTAGGTCTAAAGAAGACAACACAAAAAGTTGTTCTTTCCAGTCTAATTTGCTTGACAGTTATGCATTCTTTATATTCATGTCCAAATATAATTGCAGATTTTTTTTTTAGATTTATACTAGAATATTCATGGAAAAACCACACACACATGTTAAATTAAGTTTGCCATCTGCATCAAATGGATGCCTTCGCTTTTCCTTCATGAGCAGTTAAGCAGGAGCAGAGAGAGGAGGCACTTCATCTCTTGTCTCTTTACAGTCATTACGCCAACAACTTCTGACTGCTCCCCTAATTAATTCTCCACTGTGCAACGATTTGCCTTTATTGGCTGTTTACATGGCGCAGATGCATACAAGTATTAATCGGCCTTGTAGTGATTATTGAGCTGGCTCGTCACTCGTCAACCTGTCATCACTCCAATAAACTCCTCAAAGGGAAGGCCCTGATTTTGAAGTCATATCCCATAAAGGTGAAAGTATATCTGCAATCATATTTTAGTCATGAGCCAGCTTTCAAATGTGCAGGGCGGCTGTGCAATGTGTGAATCAATGCAGTTTTGCATGTTACTGATAACAACCATTTGGGCTTTTTCAGAAAATTAGTCCATACTTTACTTTTTGTCTATCGCACATCACTCGACAGCTTTTATGCCTTGTGTCTACTCCACACTGGCTCATCCTCTTGCCAAAAAAAGACCATTTATGTTTGTATTTTGATGTTCTAAATTTAAAAGACAACCACTTTTAAAGATTTGTAGTAGATTACAGCTTCATTCCACAAGCGGACAAGATAGAAAACATTTGGTTTGTCAGGTCTGAATGAAAGCAGAAGCAAACACAATGGGAGATACTTTCCTTTACAATTTGCCTGACAACATTCAAGGCTTCAAATCTGATACTGCAGACCCGAGAAAAACAACCTAAAAAATAATACACGCTTTAACGGGCTGTTTGCAAGTGGCATTCACACCCATCTCGTGCAACAACAGATCAGACTGCCTATTTTCAAGCACAGTACTGGCACCACCACTTCTACCCATCTTGTAAAATACCTTTCCTGCCTCCCCCCCCCCCCATGCATGCAGTGTCTGTGCTCTCCCCCATCTGACAGAGAGCTGCTACACCAATGCCACTATCTTATCATGCTCAAGGTTTCACAGAAGCCTGGCTACTGCCCAAAAGTCTTGAAACAGAGGCACAACTTGGCAGACAAGGACTGCGGGCAGTGTTTTTCCAAGCCTTTATACACAGAATGATTAAAATGGTGCAAGGGGTGCATTTGGTCCACTGGAGGGGGGGTGACATCTATGCGAGATTTTAGATAACATGGGAATGCAGACTTTTAGATAGATATGCAACACACATACACACAAACGTAGTCTTCTTCTCTTTTTAACAAATGAGGACTAAGGAATGATAAACCACCCCAAGCTTGAGTTCACTTCTTAGATAATCACCAAGCAGTCCAAATACAAATCTAAACATCCAAAAGGAAATAATCAAATATTCATATGACGCAAAGCACACTTTCTGAAAATCTATTGAGTCAATTTAATGAGCACTTACCAGCCACGGAAGTGAGGAGGATGGTCAGGCAGATTCCAAATTTAGCCAGAGACTTGGAGGTGATGCGGCCCATTGCAGTGACTGTCTCCATCGGAATTGACATCGAAGTTGATAAAAAATAAAAATAAATAAATAATGTCCTGATTCACTTGTGTGGCAGAAAGTATGCGATTAATGACCACAACTTGAAATCAGAGAATTAGTGATTTTTAATAAATAGGCTTGGGTGATGAGGTATTTTGTCTAGGCGCAGAATAAAGTTGGGCTAGTTCTTAAGGTGGTCCATGAATTAAAAGTGCGTGTATATGACGCGGTTAACTCGGCTGGCGTATGTGCCACCTAAAACTAGCCCGCGAGCACCGTCCATTTCTGCTATTAGCCGACATGCTAACTGCGCTCGCGACTGTCTGGCACTCGAAAAACTTAGGAAAAGAAGATAAAAATGGCATAAACCAGTGTTTCTAACCACGGAAACCTAACTGGACAACATCGCGACGTGCTTCCAGAGTCAAGCTGCCCATTCAGACAACACAAAAGCTGATATTTTGCCAAGAATAGTTAGCTAAACGACTTGGGTTAGAGACGGCTAGTTTACAAGCTAATCCCTGTTAGCATAATAGCTAGCCAGTTAGTTCGCAGAGTCCAGAGTCATTTCTTCCCTCAATTTTCTGCACGGAAAAAACACAAATCAGAAGCCTCCTGCAGGGTCCCGTACGAAGGCGATTAGTCCGGTGTGAGTTTGTACGTGTCTCGGTGTGTGATCTTCCCCCCGGGCTCTGGAGCTCCGTTGGGGCAGACAGACAGACAGGCTGGGCGGCTGGGAACGCCTCGTTTGCAGGCTTGTCTGGACCGCTCGTCTCCGGTATCAGGTTGCTGTGGGCTGGTGAAGGGGGTGGAGGACTGTGCCACTCCGTACGAGAGATCCACAGCGCCACCACGCGGCAGACTTGAGCCACAACAACAAGTGAAATTGAGAAGTTGCCTTTTTGTTTATTTTATTTAGTTTTAAATTGGGTAATAATTTATGTTTTATTTTAGAGGTAACCAGCCGTATTTATTTAATCTTCTATAATTTATACTGCTTATTTTTTACACTAAAGTTACAGATTTAATTTTATTTTAGTATAGAGTTATTGTTCATTTATCTTGTGCGATGTGCTCCTCATTCCTACTGTCTGTGATGCAACACTGACATTTCTCCACTGGGACGAATAAAGGATCTTAATTAATAGTAACTTTCACATAGAGAAGTTCTCACCTACAATATGAATAATCTAGAAATCTTAAACTGGCTGATATTTAGTGCCAAAATACAGAAGCATCAGACGCATAGTGAACACAAATTAATGTATTGCAAACAAGACATGAAGATGTAGAATACTACTTATATCAATAACGTTATTCATGATGTTGCTTATAAATTAATTCATGGCCTAACTAACCCTCAGATACATCCACGGCCCAGTGCCCCTGTGTGGCCCGAAAAAAAAAAGTGATGTGCAAATTGCAAAGTACCACCAGAGGGCAATAAAAGCGCTATGTGTGCAACTAGGAATAACTCTTTAAATGTTTAAAAAGGAAAAAAACACATAATCCTAAAGTCTACATTTTAACGCAAGTTTTCGCACTTCACAAAACGCTCCACTGAAGAATGTGACCTCATGATTTTTCAGCGTAATATTTAGAAATTACTTTTACATAACAAAATATGGCGATCTCAGACAGACTACAAATAGCGCAATATGCATTTTGGAAATTATATGGGTGGAAGCAAGCAAGCAAAGCGAGCCAAGGGGGCGGTGCAGCCAGGGAGTCTGCAAGCGTCGGGACCATAGACGGTAGTCGGGACTGGACTCAGGACCTCCGCTGCTGCGCTGTCAGATCAAAAACATAGAGAGGAGACACTGGGGGGATGTCCTTTTAGCCCCGGGACACGACTACCTATTGAAACAATCCTCAGACATGGCAATAAAGTTAGCCTGAGGGTCTTGGCTGGATAAAAGACGGCCGCAGATCTGTCATTTTCGCAATTGTTTGTGGATCGCTCCTTTTATGTGTCCCTTCGTGATACTTTGGATGTGATGAATGGTGGGCTACGCCATGGCTTCTGCTCCACCTGAGGCAAGGAAGTTCACCCGGGGGCTCAACAAACCAGGGACCGCCGCAGAGCTGAGGCAAAGCGTTTCAGAAGCTGTCAGGACATCTGTGTTGGTGGTGAGAATAACAAACAAACACTTCGATATATACTCTTTCTTGATGTCTTCTTCTTCCCCTTTCTGTTTTGCTCAATACTCAATATGTACAGTGTATGGTTTTACTGCAGCAGCATTTGGGGGCATAGGGATCAAGACCTGTCTCTTCATTCTATTCTAGTTTTTATACATTTTTTATAGCACCTTTGTAATACCTTCACAATAACTTTAGCATTCTCTATTGTGGGATCTGTAAAGGCACAAGGCTATATCCATTTCTACAACTTTCTCAAAGGAGGTTGCTGGGTGACTGTAACGTACACCACCATCACTAAAGAGACAGAATGACAACACAGAGTTTTTTGTGTGCATCCTGTCATGGGATACTACTGGTCCACATTGAAACTGTAGAGGTGACATACAAAAAAGTAATGAAGGGCAAAGATAATTCACATTTGTCTACGTTTTCTGTTTGTCTACATTGAGATTCCATTGTTTTGACTGTATGATTACTCAGTATAGCATTAATACCTCATAAAAAAATGTATTTGCGGCACAGAAATGGCTAAACTAAGAACACTGAGCTGGATCACCTCAATCCCTTGGCATCAACATTCCATAATAATAATAGATCCTTTTCTTCGTAATTTCAATGTTGTAATGCACATACAGGACAGTAGTAAGAGCACTCAGGGAGCACACAAAATGTACAAAATAAGTAATAGCTGTGTTTCTTAGCTAGCTGTGAATGCTTCAATACAAAAAGGTAGTGCAGAGTTATGGCAACACATTTTTGACAAATCATCCTCCAAAATAGTCACAAACCACAGCCTTTTTAATGTCTCCTTTTAGATGAATTCACAAGTTATTGATGTAAATATAATCCATTCAAATAATTTCATTCAGGATTGGCCCGCAAAGAGATTCTGAGAATTGGGCAAAAAAAACAACTTTATAAACTCATTGAACTTGTGCTGAATAAATAGGTAGTATATTGTGTCTCGTTACATAATGGTGATCATCAATACACATTAGGCCCTTTCCCTTTGCCTAATGGCTTCCCCTGTCACATACAGCTGCTGTCTTGTTGCTCACTCCCAGTGCTCTCTTTGATCCGGTTATTATCTGCAAGATGTAAGACCGGCAAATCTTAATTACTTGACCACGAAGGAGGTTTTTGCATGTTGCTTCAAAACAACAACACATTCTAGTATGTCCTCTGCGTTATACAGTACACACATAATTATACATTTACTTATGTCTTCTAAGCTGCATGGACGAATTGTGGTTGTTTGACAGATGTTTTATAGTTTTAAAATGTGTTTTTCATACCCCATATTGCTCAAATGAATGGCTTTTGATGGAGTGTATAAAGTAGTCTGTATCTGGACACATTTATCTCTATTGATATGACTTATCCACATTTTTTTCCCATGTGACCTCCAGCTGCTTCCAGGAGCAGGTGACTTTCTTTTATTTTATTTTTTTTTTACAGTAAATCTATTTCATGCAGGGTTAGGCAGGGTTAGGAGAAAAGTATACTCAAAGCCATTAGATTCAAACAACACTACAGAACTCAAGGTGAACATCTGTGACTCGTTATTTCTGTCGGGAGAAGAAAAAAATCCAAGACTACCATACATTCTATTCTTGTCTGGGGGCGACGCAGCTGTTTCAAGTGCCCATTTGCTTTGACATGGAGACTGACACGCTGGTATGTTCAAAGCCTATAGCGGAAACACACATTCGTGGCCAAAACAGGGACTTTGAAATGTTGAAATGCCACCTTATTTGAAACCCAATCCATTATTTAGCCACAATCTTTCTCACAATTATGTCAATTAAGTCGGAGCGGGCTGTTAATTCAGTCCTGGGCCACAGTGCATGGAGTTGCATAATGGAAGTCAGATCGGATCTCCGCACAGGATTTAATAATGGATGAGATGATGGTAGGTGTCCGGGCTATTTTTAACTGTGCCCTATTGCTCCTCTGTGTCACACTACAATCAATTATGAATATTTAAGTGTATGTGAACGTGTAGAGGGTTAAGTTATTGTAAGAGGTATTTAGCGAGACATTAGTAAACAAAGTGGGGCCGTGATCGTTTTGGTAATGACTTCCAACTGGAGCAAAATGCTGGCTAAGAGCTTTTAACATGTTTGGCTACCTTTACTTTATTTTGACTCCAGAATTACAACTCTGACAGGTTTCCCTTTACCACAACAACTTGTTCTGTGCTGCTGCATAGAGAATTGAATAGATGATTTAATATTTTGTATACGTTTTTGTATGTGCAGAAAGATACTAGCCCAGAACCAAAAAAAAGGTGAACAAAAGAAAAAAGTCAACCAAATACTGACAACCAATATATTTTTTTCCGGAAGAGCAGTGTAATTGAAGTTTTGCTTCAGAAATTATACGAGAGTGCTCAATAAAAAACAGAAAAACGAGAAACCTTACACTTACACTTTACATAAAACATGAAAAAACACAACATTATCAAGTACCTATAGCCACAGCTAATTTCCATCTGCTGTAATGATTGTTAAGTTGCATATTAGAGAAGGCAACTTTAGTTTTCCCCTTTTGAAAATAAGGGGAACAGTGTTTTTGGACTTGTGAGAGTGTAAAGATTATTAATGTGTAAGAAATCCAAAGAAAACAAGATATGTATGTTTGAATCTACAAACAATATTAGCACTATATCAGGACTACTACCACTTTCTATTTTAGCCCAGACTGCACTCAGTAGTAGACTAGCCCCTGGAGGATTTGGTTGTAGTTGGGCATAAAAGCAGATAATCTTCAGCTTTGTACTACTGCTGACCCACATGTGTGTCATGATACAGGGCTGTGGATGGGATGCCAGTGTCTGCCTTTGCTGACAGATGATCCTGCATGGGACTTTTTTCAAACCACACCATTCCCACCTCTTTATTTGGGCTGCTCCTTTCTTCAAAAAATCATAAACACTAAGCTTCTGGACAGACCGCGGCTTGTCTCTGTCTGTCTCTCCTCTAAACTCATTTTTGCAGTAGGATTGGCATTGATTGTGTAACTATGAAATACCTCAAGCTTGACATAAGTTTGACAATTTTCCAAAAGTTTCTGCGACCAGCTCTGCCATTGCTTTTCTTAGCATGCAGGTCCTAGAAGAAATGTTTGTGTTTTCTCTGTCTTCAACCCCAGTTTTAATAATTGGATCGTTTTTTTTATTTTTTCACTGCTCCATAGCCTGCGGTGTTGATTTATGCAAGCATGTAAGGGGGATTTCAGCTTGTTGCAACATCTGTACTGTGGCCGTCACTTGTTTACAGTAGTTTTTTTTGTGTGTGCCTGGAGTGCATTGCATTACAAGCTCCACAAATCATGGAATTAATTGAGTTATGTAGAAATAGAGTGGCTTGTATGGGAACCTAACCCGACTATACCTTCTCAGCCTCCGCAGTCCAGCCGCTTCTCATAGTTACAATGCTGTTCGTGATTAACAACCGTGTCCTATTTTCAATCACAGCCCATCTGCAAAAATCGAGCAGTGACCATAAAAAATTCCTTTGACCCAGTTGTTGAAATTGCACATCAGTTCTCCGCAGCATGGGCAAAAAATAGCCATTACGTTTGAGTGTGGAAAAAACGCTCCCATTTTCTCCTGGCTACCTTTAAGTCTTTCCATTTCGTCTGCCTGTAAATACATGTGTAATTACAGCGACTATAGCTTTTCAAAGGAGCGGAGAAGTTGCTACTGAGAGCACAAAAATCCGATTCCGATTTCTTTTTTTTTTATATTACCTTCAAGCATTTCTTTAACAGCACTTGTGCAACTCAAATGAGAAAAATCTTTGCTCATGCTTGTTTAAACTAGTGCAAAATGTGCCCAGCTAGTGCCCAGATTATTAGAACATTCTCCATTCAACTCTAACGCAATGCTAACGACTTAATATCCACTGTATAGATAGTACTTATTTCAGGGGACTGTGTATTGTAAGTGAGTGAGCTGCTATTTAAAGTCTATTACATTTTTTGGGTTTTACATTTGTCTGTGATTTGTCCCGATGACTCACCAGGCCCCAGTGTTGTTGCAGTGGCAAATGTGGCCTGATGGAGGCAGCCATTGCTTTACTATCCTCAGCCTGAAGTACCAGTTCATTCAGATGTCCAATATTACAGCCATGTCATAGTTAGTCATCACTGAAAGCCAAATGACTCAGCTTTGATATTTTTGTAGATTGATTTTTTGTCTTCACCACATAATCATTTGTAATCTGCCCTGACAGGACATCATGACTGCTAGTTTGCTCATCCATTGTAATTTATAATGTATTATGTTTTTTTCCCCAATCTATGCTCGTCTTTAATGGTGGGCTGTTGCCAGGAGACATGCAATCTCATCATACTCTCATCTTTTTTTTAGATGGTGAGCATTTGGTATTGATAATAGGCCAAAATATCAATATATATCTGACGAACATTGGAGGTGGTTAGATTTGCGTTTAACTAAATCACTCAAGATATTTCCTAAGCACCCACATTAGTCCAATCAATAGAGTCAATCTTATAAAAATGTAAAGTATTGTATTGTTGGGCGGCACGGTGGCTGAGTGGATAGCAGTCTCGCTTCTCAGCAAGAAGGTCCTGGGTTGGAATCCCGGTCGGTACAGGGCCTTTCTGAGTGGAGTTTGCATGTTCTCCCCGTGTCTGCGTAGGTTTCCTCCGGGTGCTCGGGTTTCCCTACCACTAAAAACATGCGCAATAGGTATGAATGTAAATGAGAGAGTGAATGGATGGTGTTGATTGGAGCTGATGGTCCAGTGTGTTCGGCGACTCGCTTCCGTCATCACCGTGTGTGGAAGGATTGGAACTATATCTGACTCTGAACATTGTAAAGCGCTTTGTGTCTGTGCCTTGGTCTGTAAAATGCGCTATATACATAAACACTACTTACTTACTTGTTTTGTATTGTATTGTAAAGTAATAGCTGTTAGTGACTTGCTAATAATGATCTCAAATTGCTTTTTTGGTTTGATAGCAATTAATCTCGCTGCCCAAATCAATAACCTTTTAGGCAAATAGAAACGACAGCATATTCATTAATACCTTTCAGAGTAATACCTTTTGACTCATCTTACCATCATCAAGTTAAGAGTAGATGAGTGCGTGGCAACCTCTCATGAATTATTAATACAAGTTCTGATTTGCACTTTGTCCAATGAGACCACTATACTGTTTTTCACAGATCTGATTTTAGCCATGATTTGTGCCCGGTCCCTGTTGCCTGATGACGCATTCACGCCTCTTTGGAAGCACCTTGTCTGCTGCAGCCCTCCAGTG